TAGTAGCATATTGTTTAGCCTCCATGTGTTTGTATTTTTTACAGTTTTTTTTCCTATAATTGATATCTAGTCTCATAGTGTTGTGGTCAGAAAAGATACTTGATATGATTTTAATTTTCTTAAATTTACCAAGGCTTGATTTGTGACCCAAAGATATGGTCTATCCTGTAGAATGTTCCATGAGCACTTGAGAAGAAAGCGTATTCTGTTGTTTTTGGATGGAACGTCCTATAAATATCAATTAAGTCCATCTTGTTTAATGTGTCATATAAAGCTTGTGTTTCCTCAGTTATTTTCATTTTGGATGATGTGTCCATTGGTGAAAATGGGGTGTTAAAGTCCCCTACTACTATTTTGTTACTGTCGATTTCCCCTTTTATGGCTGTTAGCATTTGCCTTATGTATCGAGGTGCTCCTATGTTGGGTGCATAAATATTTACAATTGTTAAATCTTCTTCTTGGATTGATCCCTTGATCATTATGTAGTGTCCTTCTATGTCTCTTCTAATAGTCTTTATTTTAAAGTCTATTTTGTCTGATATGAGAATTGCTACTCCAGCTTTCTTTTGATTTCCATTAGCATGGAATACCTTTTTCCATCTCCTCACTTTCAGTGTGTATGCACCCCTATGTCTGAAGTGGGTCTCTTATAGACAGCATATGTATGGGTCTTGTTTTTGTATCCATTCAGCCAGTCTGTGTCTTTTGGTTGGAGCATTTAATCCATTTACATTTAAGGTAATTATCGATATGTATGTTCCTATTACCATTTCCTTAATTGTTTTGTGTTTGTTTTTGTAGCTCTTTTCCTTCTCTTGTGTTTCCTGCCTAGAGAAGTTCCTTTAGCATTTGTTGTAAAGCTGGTTTGGTGGTGCTGAATTCTAACTTTTGCTTATCTGTAAAGGTTTAAATTTCTCCATCAAATCTGTATGAGATCCTTGCTGGGTCGAGTAATCTTGGTTGTAGGTTTTTCCCTTTCATCACTTTAAATATGTCCTGCCAGTCCCTTCTGGCTTGCAGAGTTTCTGCTGAAAGATCAGCTATTAACCTTATGGGGATTCCCTCGTATGTTATTTGTTGCTTTTCCCTTGCTGGTTTTAATATTTTTCCTTTGTATTTAATTTTTGATAGTTTGATTAATATGTGTCTCGGCATGTTTCTCTTTGGGTTTATCCTGTATAGTACTCTCTGTGCTTCTTGGACTTGATTGATTGACTATTTCCTTTCCCATGTTAGGGTAGTTTTCAACTATAATCTCTTCAAATATTTTCTCAGACCCGTTCTTTTTCTCTTCTTCTTCTGGGACCCCTGTAATTAGAATATTGGTGCGTTTAATGTTGTCCCAGAGGTCTCTGAGACTGTCCTCAATTCTTTTCATTCTTTTTTCTTTATTCTGCTCCCTGGCAGTTATTTCCACCATTTTATCTTCCAGCTCACTTATCCATTCTTCTGTCTCAGTTATTCTGTTATTGAGTCCTTCTAGAGTGTTTTTAATTTCAGTAATTATGTTGTTCATCATTGTTTGTTTGCTTTTTTGAACTGCTACTTTTTGATACTTCTGTTTTGGGAATTATCTATTTACTTCCCTCTACTGAAAAACAATCTTTTAAATTCTTTTATTTATTTATTTGGTTACGTCGGGTGTTTGTTGCAGTAGGCGGGTGGGCTCCTTAGTTGCAGGTCACCAGCTTCTTATTTGCAGCACGTGGGCTCCTTAGTTGCAGCAGGCAAGCTCCTTAGTTGTGGCTCACTGGGTCCTTAGTTGTGGCATGCAACCTCTTAGTTGCGGCCTGCATGTGGGATCCAGTTCCCAAACCAGGGATCAAACCCGAGCCCCCTGCATTGGGAATGCGGATTCTTAACCACTGTGCCACCACCACCAGGGAAGTCCCCCCTCTACTGAAAATTGAAGATTTCATTCTTTTTCCTTCCTTTGCAGTCACAGCTCATGTGTAAACAGTTTACTGTTTATCAGTTTGTTACTAAAGGATATGGTAAAGGATACAGGTGGACATGTAGATGGAAGAGATGCATAGGGCAAGGTATGCAAGAAGGAGTGTGGAGCTTCTGTGCCCTCTCTAGGGGGCACCATTCTCCCAGCACCTTCACGTGTTCACTGACTAGAAGCTCTCCAAACCCTGTACTTTGGGGATTTTGATGGAGGATTAGTCACATAGGCACAATCAAATATTAACTCCCTTTCCAGCCCCTCTCCCTTCTCTGGAGAATGGAGGGTGGGGCTGAAAATTCCAAGCTTGTTTGTTTGTTTTTTGGCCCTATGGCATTCAGGATCTTAGTTCCTTGACCAAGGATTGAACCCGTGCCCCTGCAGTGGAAGCGTGAAGTCTTAAACCACTGGACCACCAGGGAAGTCCCAGAAAATTCCAAGCTTCTAATCATGGCTGGGTCTTTCTGTTGACAGGCCCCCCTACAGGAGCCCACCCAGAGTCACCTGATTAGAACAAAGGACATTGCTATCACCCAGGAAATCCCAAGGGAGCCAGAAGCCCTGGGTCAGGAACCAGACTCAAAGACCAAATATGAGAACAAAAAAAATGCTCCTGGTGCTCTTATCCCTTCGGAAATTATTGATAGAAGTATTTTAGGAGCTCTGTGCGGGAACAGGAGGCAGAGACCAATATATATATTTTCTGTTATCTTACCATCCTCTTTTCTTTCTCTTTGGATCCTTATAGGATATTCTCTTTGTTCTGGTGTCTGAAATGTCACTTTGTTGTAAGTTGGGATGTATAGGAAGGGTATTTGCTGCAATGATGCTATGTAACAAACCAGCTCAAAACTCCCATTCTTTCACCCTCCTCATCCCATCCATCAGTAAGTTGTATTGATTGCACCTTTAAAATGTCTTGAATCCAGGTGGGCTGGTTCAGTAGCCTTCTATTCAGTCTCCCTCCTTCAAATGTTGCCGTGACCAGTCCACTTTCCATAGTTATAAGAATGATCCATCCACAGCTAGCTTGATATTAACTGAAAGGAGGCCTGGTGGAAATGGTAAATATTTGCACAATCTTTTGGACTCTGAGCATGTTCTTCACTGGCTAAAAACAAGATGTTTCTTCCTGGCAAACAGAGTGATCAGACCTGAAAGTGATCTTCAAGATGTTTTGGAGAATAATAGCAGAGTTTTATACAGCAACCATTTCCCAAACCCCAAATTAAGACAAATATTCTGAGAAGTAGTAGGGTACTTAGGGCTCAAATAATGATCATTTATTAAACACCTTTTATGTTTGCTACATACTTTGTATAATTTAATTTAATTTAATTAATTAATTTAATTTAATTAATTTAATTCTGACAAAGGTACACTAAAGTAAATTAATTTAATTCTGACAAAGGTACACTAAAGTAAATACGTTTTCTATATTTGTTTAACAGTTAGTGGAAGTGGGGGGAAAATTATTTTCAATTAATAAAAATTATATATAGTAATGAATGCAGATTTCTGCTGGCAGAGCAATCTGTGTTCTTCAGACATGTATGCACACACATCCATACAACTGCCAAAACACTTCCATTTTTCCATTCTTGTTCTGTCTCAGGTTTTTCCTTAATGAGTATCTGAACCCACAAAAAGGTTTAAGTTTAGATAATAAATCACTTGTTCCCAGCAAACACCATTACAGCATGCAGAATTCCAGGTGGCCATCGCTGCGCCTGCTAGGGCTGCAACAGCAAACTGTTCTTAACTTTTCCACTTAAGGGCACTGTCTCCTGCATTGGGAATAGGTTAAATGTACATCTCCCTTGATTATTCAGTAATGTTTCAAATCCCTGATAAGACTGGTGTCCTGGAAGTTCCTCATAATTAATCTTCACAATACAGGTAAACAATCAGAGTTTAATCCACCCAAGGTTTTTTACTCTGGCAGAGCAATGGTTTAAATCATTTGTGCTTGATTCCAAAGCCAGTGTTCTTTCTACTACTTGAAAATTCCATAAGAGGATGACAAATAATCCTAGCTTTTACCTAATTTAAGGGAAAGATGTAATTTACATTAAACAAAGTTTTAATTGTTAACAACTGTATTTTGAACATATTATTGTTAGAAGAGGTAACTATTAGGTGGATTAAATCTGAGTAGTCATTACTAAAACAAGCTCAGTAAAACCATTAAATCATGGATTCAGTTACATTGCAATGATTATTACAGTGTCTCTTTCAGTATAAGAGTTTTAAACTTATATTATCTTTGTCAACTACATTAGTAACACGGCTCGTACTGGGATGGTGATGGAAAGTAAAAACACTCAAGCCATTTTGCAAAAGGAACAATAGTATTTAATAGATTAACAGAAAATTTACACATGGTACATTTAAATTTGAACTTTTCTCTTTTGGGGGGTAAGTCTGCAAAAAACCTGAATGAATTTAAGATATGACCTGTGAAGCTGAATCGTAGTGTATCTATATTTAAAAGAATGATGTTGACAGAGAATATATCGAAGTATGTTACAATTATATTTATTAAGTGAAAGTAAGTTAGTTATTTTTTTAAAAGAATCCGGCTATTCTGGTAATGCTGCATATGTTTTAAGCAAATTATTTAAAAATGTAAACCATTACATTTTTTGTTAAAATTGAACAAGCTGTTAAAATTGCTACAATATATCTCACCTAAGCTCTCCAGTACTATTTTAAATACATATGTATTGTAGAAAAAGCACCAGAAGCAGTCAAGGCAGCAAAACTGTATTCATAGCAAAATAAGCCAAAACCCTCGTCCTTTTGTTTATTCCTCATTCCCAAAAGGAGTTATATTACTGAATGAAGGAATTTTCCAACTGCATTTTTGAGGTCACAGTTACAGCCTTAAATGATTGGCTTTTGCAGGCAATCAGGTACAGATAAATTACACTAAAATAAAACTGTATGATGTTTTTGTCATATTAACACCAAACTGAATGGTGGACTGAAATGAACAGATGAGAAAGAAAATCAAGCTTGAGGCTCACTCTTTCTCTAAAGTGGTCATGTTTCTAGTTTTACTAAAGCATTAATTTTCATAAAGTGCACTAACAAAATAAGTACGTTGAAAAAAGCTTTGAAGATCTATGTACAACTCTGAGATTAAGATAAATTACTGATTATGTTCTTGATAGCCTTTTAATGCTGTGGAAGCTGTAACATACATGAAAAGCTCATTGACCTGGGTAAAATAATGATTTTTCCCCCCTTAGATCAATCTAGTATTAAGGCGTATGTAATTATGCTAGCTTATTCTATAAGGCAAGGTTAGATTAAAGGGAAAATTTATGTGTTATAGGCTAAATCCAGATACTGTCAGGTGCTGGGCATTATTCCTGGCTTCAAAATAAGATGTATCAGTTTCATTGTCTGGCTGGGGTATGAAAGGCATCGTTTGATGCTGTAGATTTTCCCAGTCCACATCACTGAAGAGAGGATGATGTTTCAACTCTTAGGAAAAATATCAAACAAAGCAATATTATGACACCATTACCAAAGTCCTATTTTACAGGAATTAAAGAGAGACTGTCTCACATGTAGCTTGCCCTGGTTTACTATGTCTGTTTCACAGACATTTTAAAAACATCTGTCTCTTTCTTCAACCACATACTTGCCAACAGCACATAGTGTCATTCTGTATGTCACTTGGCATATGACAGGTGCCTTAACAGAAGCTTATCTTTCTCACTGCCTGCATCTTCTCTCAGAATCCCTGACTCGATGAGAGAAGACAGCCTGGCCTACTTCCTGTTCCCCGACACGGCTTCCACACCACTAATCCTAATCTTCCATGATTAATGCCCCACTTCTCATTCCAATTCCTTGCCACCTGCTTTGATCTCTGTAATCCTCAGCATCGTCACCCTAGATTACTTCAGCAGGAACCTCATCCTCCAGTCCCTTGCTCTCTTCCCTGTGCTCCATCCTTATCCTTCCTGGTAATTTCAACATACACACTGGTGATATTTCTGACACATGCTTTCTCTTCCTGGTTCTTTGATTTCTTTGATTTCACTGACTTGCACCTCTACAACACACCAGCCGCCCAGCAGTATGGCCACATCCAAGTCTACTGCTTCCACTTACAAAATCTCAAGTTTGCCTTCCTCTTTAACTACATTTTCCTTCTATCTAGTAAAATGAAATCTCTTTTGATCACACAGGTATTTAGTTGGGAGACATAGCCACCCCTCTCCTCAACTATTCACTTCATTAGGCAACAATAAAGACAGCAAAAAAATGATGTGTCAATTAAGGCAGTATGCAAACCAAAAAAGCAATCAAATTTAAGGAAAATATCAGAAGACGACTACACAGACAGGAAAGAATTGTTTGTCTGTATTGGGGGTAATGGGCTGGAAAATCAATATGTATATATGATGGATTTTCCATAAACTAAAAGACTGGTAGGAAAAGGATAAAAGAGCAAAAATAATTCACATTTAGAGAATTTATTTGTCTCAACGGTTCAAGCATGTGTTACTTTAGAGTTATTTGTAGTATTAACTCGAACTGGGATATCTGGATGTGATGTGATGCTTCGTGATCCTCTCATCATAACTATTTATTTAAACTGAATCCGCAAAAGAATTCTAATCTAGGTTAAGATTAACTAAATAAACAGTTGTTGAAACAACTGTTTCTTAACTGAAGAATACCCCTATCTGCTTCACTAGGTAAACTGTTCATTTAACTAATGAACAAAAATTTGAGGTCACTGGTAAGAATGTACTGAGCAAGTTACAGAGCATTATAGCCATTTTCTAAACAACGGTTTCCCAACTTTGTTACAGTTGACCTTTGGGACCAGATAATTCTTTGTAGTAGGGACTGTCCTGTGCACTGTAGGATGCTGAGCAGAATCCCTGGCCTCTACCTACTAGATGCCCCCAACTGTTGTGACAACCAAAAAATGTCTCCAGACAATGCCAAATGTCCTTTGCGGAGCAAAATCATCAGCAGTGGAGAAGGCTGTTCTAAAGCAATCTTTATTTTTATTATTTTAATTTTTTGTTTTATTATTATTATTTTTTGGCCGTACCTTGCAGGCAAAATAAAAATAAAATAAAAATAAAACTGTATGATGTTTTTGTCATATTAGTTCCTTAGTTCCCTGACCAGGGATCGAGCCTGTGTCCCCTGCAGTGGAAGCTTGGAGTCTTAACCACTGGACCACCAGGCAAGTCCCCTAAAGCAATTTTTAGAGCTTGGTTTTCAAATGTCTGCATTCTCACTTTACATAAGTTTTTGCTCAGATTCTACTCTTCAGGTCTCCCTGACCACCCCATCTAAAATATAAATCTCTTGCCTTCACTTTGTACCCTCTCACTTTGCTTTCTCTCTTCATGTACTTACCAATAGATGGTGTTATGTTATGACTGTTTGTTTACTTCCTGCCTTTCCACTAGAATGTAAGTTCTAGAACTTAAGCACAGGGATGTGTCTGGTTCATCCCTAGGATACCTCCAGTGCCTGAAACGAAAACACTGCCTAGCACCTAGAAGTCACTCTATAGGATTTGTTAAATAAATAAACTGTTGACCTCATTGGAGGGAACACCTAGAAGCTGATGTGAATGACATATTACTAAAGTCCATTTAGTAATATACCCTACTTCACATGGAAATGCATTCTGAGACACAGTGCTTAGTTTTCTCTATATATACATTGTGACAAAAAGGATTTTAAGGCAGCTGCTAATGAGATTTACTGGAGTTTTGAAAATTGGGTTTTAAAATTAATTGGAGTTTCCTGCACTGGAAAGAACCTTTGAATGGGCCACAATGCACCAATTTTGTCTTCTTTGAGGCAACCTGGCTGTGAAGAATGCAACAGGGAGTCAAAGTCCATAAAAATATTTGATAATCAATAATGATACCAGGGACTTCCCTGGTGGCACAGTGATTAAGAATCCACCTGCCAATGCAAGGGACATGAGTTTGATCCCTGGTCCGGGAAGATCCCACATGCCACGGTGCAACTAACTCCGTGCACCACAACTATACTGAGCCTGTGCTCTAGAGCCCACGAACCACAACTGCTGAGCTAAATCAGTAGTCTGGCTCAACAAGTCAAGGGTAAAAGAGTTAACTAACACAAAACCTTACCTTTCATTCCAGCTCTCTTTGTATCATCAATGGTTAAGAGTATTTCTACAGCACTTTGAGCATTATCAGATAACTTTTCTTCACCTTCAGGCCAAGGGATATCTATAAATACAAACAAACTTGTTAATCATTGCTCAAGACAATAATACACAGAGATAAATGAGATAAATGAATCTATCTTAATAGGAGAAAAAGAATCACCTCTTTTCAGAATATTCTGGAATACTTGCTGGGGTGTTTCATCGTTGAAAGGGGGAATTCCTGTTAGAAACTCAAACAAGCAAACTCCAAGTGCCCACCAGTCTACTGCAGGACCTGGAATTTAAGAGGAAGCAGCTGAACTTGCAAGCATTTTCTATAAATGTTTGATCAACTAAAACATTAACTGTGGATATTTGGGCACAATGAAGACCCAAAGGCTCGTTTCCTTAAGGCTTTCTTCTGGCTTCCAAACATGCAAAGACCCAAATTACCTTCCTTTAGGCAATGTGGTAATTGCTTCCTTGGAAAATACTGGGCTCCATAAGATGATATGGAAAAACCCAAACGAAATTTTTGGCCAGCCCAACAGATGTTTAGATTAGCAATTAACATGGCTAGTTAAAAAAAAGTTTAAAAAGTTATTAATAACCTCTGATATTCTGGATACTTATTTGTGCTAAATCCTAAAACACAACCAAGGAATGCATTTAATCTAAAAATTATTCTCTAAAAGAGTATTTCAAATCAGGAAACAATAACATTCAGATGATTCTATAGCCCACTCGTTTCACAAAGGAATGAGATGAGGTAGTAATATTAATGCAAACTGGAGGATAACCTGCTAACTAGGGAAAGCCTTACCTACAGAGGGTTTTTTTGTTATGTTTTGTTTTTGCCACACACACCATGTGGGATCTTAGTTCCCCAACCCGGGATCAAACCCGTGCCCCCTGCAGTGGGAGCACAGAGTCTTAACCACTGGACTGTCAGGAAAGTCCCCTTACAGAAGGTTTTAATGTGGCTTTATTCCTTTTAAGAACATAGAGGGACAAATTAGTTTAACAAAAAATACTCATTCAAACTATTGCTTGAGGAGGTAATTAGAAGATAAGTCTTAATAAATGGGTAAAACTGATTTCTTTTTTAAAAAATTTTTATTGGTGTATAGTTGCTTTACAATATTGTGTTAGTTTATACTGTACAGCTAAGTAAATCAGCTATACATATACATATATCCCCTCTTTTTTGGATTTCCTTCTCATAGGCGTTCCCTGTGCTATACAGTAGGTTCTCATTAATTATCTACTTTATACATAGTATCAGTAGTGTATATATGTCAATCCTAATCTCCCAATTCATCCCACGCCCAGGTAAAACTGATTTCTAAATAAAATCTTCATTGGAAGCATCATTTGTATACAAAGACATTTTAGACAATTATTTTAAACATGACCTTATAATCTGGTTTATACGCTTGTTTAGATACATCTATGAACAAAATTTCCTAAGCAAAGGTTAATTTCAGTCCAAAAATGATTAACTTCAATATAAATTTAGAATTGAGACTCTAGTCTAGAACTAAATTTGCCTGAAAATTACTCTTTAAAATCAATTTCACAAGACAACCCTCAGAATGGGAGAAAATATTTGCAAATGAAGCAACTGACAAAGGATTAATCTCCAAAATTTACAAGCAGCTCATGCAGCTCAATATCAAAAAAACCAAACAACCCAATCCAAAAATGGGCAGAAGACCTAAACAGACATTTCTCCAAAGAAGATATACAGATTGCCACAGACACATGAAAGAATGCTCAACATCATTAATCATTAGAGAAATGCAAATCAAAACTACAATGAGGTATCACCTCACACCAGTCAGAATGGCCATCATCAAAAAATCTACAAACAATAAATGCTGGAGAGGGTGTGGAGAAAAGGGAACCCTCTTGCACAGTTGGTGGGAATGTAAATTGATACAGCCACTATAGAGAACAGTATGGAGGTTCCTTAAAAAACTAAAAATAGAACTACCTTATGACCCAGCAATCCCACTACTGGGCATATACCCTGAGAAAACCATAATTCAAAAGGAGTCATGCAGGGGGCTTCCCTGGTGGCACAGTGGCTGAGAGTCCGCCTGCCGATGCAGGGGATGCGGGTTTGTGCCCCGGTCCGGGAAGACCCCACATGCCGCGGAGCAGTGGGTCCGTGAGCCATGGCCGCTGAGCCTGTGCTCCGCAACAGGAGAGGCCACAACAGTGAGAGGCTCGCATACCGCAAAAAAAAAAAAAAAAAAAAGGAGTCATGTACCACAATGTTCATTGCAGTACTATTTACAATAGCCAGGAAATGGAAGCAACCTAAGTGTCCATCGACAGATGAATGGATAAAGAAGATGTGGCACATATATACAATGGAATATTACTCAGCTATAAAAAGAAACGAAATTGAGTTATTTGTAGTGAGGTGGATGGACCTAGAGTCTATCATACAGAGAGAAGTAAGTCAGAAAGAGAAAAACAAATACCGTATGCTAACACATATATATGGAATCTAAAAAGAAAGAAAATGGTTATGAAGAACCTAGGGTAGGGGCAGGACAGGAATAAAGACGCAGACCTACTAGGGAATGGACTTGAGGACACGGGGAGGGGGAAGGGTAAGCTGGGACAAAATGAGAGAGTGGCATGGACATATATACACTACCAAATATAAAATAGATAGCTAGTGGGAAGCAGCCCCATAGCACAGGGAGATGAGCTCGGTGCTTTGTGACCACCTGGAGGGGTGGGATAGGGAGGGTGGGAGGGAGACGCAAGAGGGAAGAGATATGGGGATATATGTGTATGTATAGCTGATTCACTTTTGTTATAAAGCAGAAACTAACACACCATTGTAAAGCAATAAAGATGTTAAAAAAAATCAATTTCACAAAATACCACCATTTCATTTTAAAACAAGTAGGAAAAAAAAAAACAAGTAGGAAAGCATCATGGAATATGCCATTAGAAAAAATAATCACATGCATTTAGAGTGCCTTTTCATCTGCAAGCCACATAATCCCATCTTCCCTAAGGAACACAAGGTACAAACAGTCTCTAGGCTTCTATTTCTATAGTAATCACTATAAAAACATACAAAACACCTCGGTTAGTAGGCTTTTAAGCAGCACTGAGAAAGAATTATTCCAACAGCTCAGATAATATAACCAAATAACAGAAAAGTAGGGGGAAATCAGGAAAAAATGTGCATTTTAATTTATTTTACTTAGGTTAGAAATTAGGACCCTTTTCCCAGCTCAGCCAAAAATGTACTCATGTCATGTCAAAACATACATGATTTCTCCATGGATATGTCATACATACCCATATAATTGAGTCAAAGTCTAATAAGATCATGTATTGTGATAAATCATATTATCAATTATAAAATAAATCAATTATAATATATATCATTAGCCAGAGATATAGAATAAAGTTGTTTTATACTACTGGCTTTCTAATTTAAAACCCACTTCTTTAATTTGTAAATTGATACGGTTAATTCCTTTCTATTTTCTAATAATAATAGAATTGAATGATTTAGAAAATTCAAGCCCTTTTGTAGCCACTAATATTAATATTTTTATCAAGCCTATTTCTTCAGTTGCAATAGAAAAAGCTATATCCACACTCTCTGCTACCTTTAAAAGTTATAAAAAAATGCCACATGCCTACACTTGTTTTCACAGAGAAGAGCAATTTCTCTGGATGTCTTCCTGCTCAGAAGACAGAAGACAGTTCATAAATGAGCTGAAATGAAAAAATATTTTATATGCAATGTGATCTAGTTAGACTTTGTTCAGTTAAATGTGCTTTGCCATGTTCCTTTATGGAGAAATTTACTCACCCAAAGTCAGAGATCCTGCATGTAAGAAAACAGGAGTTAGGTACATTGTCTTAAAGTTATGAGTTCATTCTCACATCATTCATTGAATTAGAAGCCAGGTATTGTGCCAGATATAAGAGATACAAAGATGAGGAAGACAGCTTTCCCCAAGGAGAAAACACCCTACTCTGGGAGAGACAATACAGGTAATTTTAAGAGAGCTGAAACAAACATATGCACAGGAAGCTGTGGAAACTCAGGCCAGGGTCCCTAAGTCCCCTTGGCTGAGGGGAAGACATGGAGGGCATCAGAGGTCTCAGTAGGATGTTTGGAATTAGAAAACTAAAGAGCCCAAGTGAGTGTTTCTGGGGCCTGGGATTCCAGGGAAGAAGTTAGAGAGCAGGGAATTGTTTTTTAAAATTATAAATTGCTGTCTATTATTTATTTTAAACACTATGTATCAAATTACTTTTATAGAAAATAAAAATTTTAGAATATTTCACTAGCTAGCTAAGATAACTAACTACATGTCCCACTAAAAGAGTGGCAAGATCTTGTCAAGTAAATCTTTACATTTGAGGTTTACTTTCATATTGTATCCTAAGTTGGAGAAAATGTAAATTATAATATAGGAAATGAGCTGGCAAATCTGTGACTTAGCAAAAAGGACAAAGTACCAAAACTAGTTAAGTGCCCAGAGGAACTTAGATGCTTTGGCGGATAAAGAAAGGGGAATATTAAACGTGTCTGCTTTCAACATTGTAGAGATTATTGACAAGGGTGAGTGAGGGCTGCCAAGGAGCTCTCCTGGAGGGCTATGCACAAGGAGAACTCAGACTCTAGATACAGCAGTGAATAATTAGTTCTCCATAATTGATCAAGGGATGCTTTATGGAAGAGGTGACATTTGAACTGATGAGCAGATGAGAAGAAATTTGACAGGGAGGGGACTGGGGACTGGCTTTTCTAAACTAAGGCAAAACAAAACAAAACAGGACTTCCCTGGCGGTCCAGTGGTTAGGACCCTGTGCTTCGACTGCAGAAGGCACGGGTTCAATCCCTGGTCGGGGAACCAAGACCCCACATGTCACACGGTGCGGCCAAAAAAAGAAAAAACCCTACTAAGGCAAAACAGTTGTGCAAAATAAGGAAAATGTGAAAATAAATGTGTCTAAGTAAAATGGGAAGATAAGGCCTATAAAGAGACTAACTGAGAGACGAGACTAGCATGAGAGCTCAGAGCCTCGAATCAGTGATCTGGCTTTCTTTTTGCAGGTAGGAAGGAGGCACCAAGCCAAACACCTCCTCTGTTTCAAGGAGAAGAGTAGCATGAACTCTATTATGCTTTAAAAGGGAAAGTCTGGTGGCAGTGATAGCAAAAAAGAGAATGAAGTTGAGGAGATCAAAGAGAAAGTTATTAAATGAAGGAAAGGGAAAGATGAGGTTCTTACATGGAATAGTGGCAGAGATGAAAAAGTGAGGAGACACACTGCAGAGATGTAATTCATCAGATTTAAATGCCTGAAGGTAGGGACAATGTTTGTGTCACCATGAAGATGGTGAACAGAGAGATGGAACAGAGGAAGAGCAAGCTAGAGGACAAGTCGAGCTCTGATACATAGCAACTGAATGACAGTAGAATACAGAATAGGCACTTTGGCCACGTGTCTGCTGCCTAGAGAAAGTCAGGATTAGAGACAGATTTTTTTTTGGCCTCGTGGCATGCGGGATCTTAGTGTAGGCCCAACTGTCTATTCCTGAACCCAAACTAAAATAGACCTGGGGAGACATTTAGAACAAAGACAGTAGAGGGGGTGGAAGGCGGGACTTCTCTGGATCATTGAGACTAAACCAGCAGGCCAAGAACAAATGGCTGCATGTCTTCTTTCCTATAATAAAGGGCCATATATGTGAGAAAAGAGTATTGCACAAGTTCATTTTCTTTTACCTTATGCAATCTAAGTACTAAAGAAATTTAAAACAATTTATCTCAGAAGAAAACATAGTGATACTTCAAAAACGCAAGATGTGCATGCCTTACCGTGGGCCCTGCCTAACAGCAGCTCTGGTGCGAGGTAGTCTGGAGTTCCCAGAATTCGCCCACCATCCACGGGGGCCGCCCCTCTTCTCACACTCTTTGGAGTTCGGTATGGAGTTCCTGACTTGACCTGATCTGGGGTCTGCTAATTTCAAAATAGTTTAAGACACAATAAATATCTTAATTCCTTTTACAGTGAACAGAAATGCTAAAACAAAAGAAAAGCTAGGCTGCTGGACATAAAAGATACACTCAAATACTTGATCAGTTTTGAAAATGGCCTTGTAACTAATTATAATTATGAAAAGTCCTATTGTAAAAAGCCCCAATTATAATAATGAAATTCAATAGCTTAGATAACACCAATTATTTCAGTAAGAGCTGGAAATGCAAGAAACAATGAAAAAAATCCACAGGAAAAAATTCTTGATAGGATGGATCAATACAAGCTTGAGAGCAGTCACAGAGGGAGGCTGTGGCTGACAAATGAGTGAATTACTAGGACAATGCATACAACAGAACTACACATAAATAACCTCTCGTGCTAACTGGCATTTATGGTTTTAAGGTATTTTGTTGTCTCACAAGGACTCTGTGGGACCAGCAGGACAGGTGTCATTATATTTTACAGACAAATGGCAGACAGAGGCTCTGAAGATAAGGACTTCTAAGTCACTCAGTAAGTTCTAAATAGAAAACTCAAGTCTTGTAACCCTACAGTCGAGGTTTACACTTTCTGTATTATGATGTCTCTCCGAAGGAAGGAGGCAAAAATGAAAATTTGGGTTTAAAAAGATAAAGGTTTAGGAAAAAAAAAAGATTTGAAATATCTATTTTTCAACTTTCTTCTGTAAAGGAAAGAGATCATCTAAATATGTCCTTAAAAGGCAGTAAGGTAGATGGACTTTAATTTTGTATCTCAGAGTTGCTGTGATCAAGTGAAAATATGTGATTGTAAATATGTAAACGTGATATGTAAATATGTGAAAGCATACAGAACAGTACAAATGAAGGAGGCATTGCAGTTAAGAATGATAAACACTGCTACCTGCTTTACCTTTCTGTACTAAAACCTCCAAGGAGCCATAGATTTCCAACAAGCAAAACAAAACTATATGATTAATATTATATAGTCTAGCTGACAGGCAAGTGTCTGGCCTTAATAGTTTATTTTTCTAAAATCTAAAGGACAGAACATTAGCAAGTGATCACACACCTGATATGGCATGTAGGATCTTTCTTTTTGAGTAGGGGTTATAGCCATGGGATATGAACCACTACAGGCACATGAAATATCCATCATATCTAAAGAAGTAATGCTCATTTTGGATGGTTCTGAGCTATTGGATGCATTAATATGACTGTTAAAACTCCGAAAAGCCACAGCATTTCTTTTAGAGGTTAATGTTTTCAATGCCTCCAAAGAAGGAGCTAACATTTTTCGGTTGCTGTCCTGGACGGCAGGACTCTCATCACCTCTCGGCAAGGTGCTTTCTTGGCAGCTGGGGGATGCAGAAAGTAGGTCTTCAGTATTTGATTCTTCCAAAGAGGATTCTTTGATGCTTTTATCTGGATCTAAGGACTGCCTTCCTAATGGACTTTCCATGATGGAAATTCCAGGAAAAGATGAATCAGAGTCCATGCAAATACTTTTAGGAGTTCTATCATCATCGGAACACAGGAAACTAGAACTTAAGTAGTCTTTCTTACTACTCTTGTCACAGTCGTCATCCAGTTCACACATAAGGTTTTTTGCTATCATTGGGACAGGTGATTTTTCTGGGGTTTGTTGCTTATCAGTGAAAGAATTGCCCATGTTCTCCTTATTAGCACCGTCATTTTGCTGATCTCTGAATACCGACAGCTGAAGGTCCTGGACTTCAGCTGTTAAGCCTGTCCTTTGATTGACATAACCATCTCTCATTTCATTACTAGTCTTATACTCGATACAATTTTTTTTATTCTGTATAATTTCCTGACAAGGACTGGAGTCAACTAACTCAAAACTTCTTTTACAACTTCTTTTCCCAAGGTGTTCTTCAGTCACCCCACTGGAATCCACAGCACATTGATGTGACTGATGGTAACCAGACTGGCTTGTGTCAGCAGCCAGATGAATATTATTTACATCCAGTTCTCTTGCTTCCCAAGAAACTTCCCCAGAAGAACATTTTTCAGCAAGGTTTCCACACGAGTTTCCAGTGGCAGGATCGGCACTGCTGTTATGAATGGGAGAAACGGCTAACTCACGATCCCTTTTATTGAAACTTTTGGTCTCCATGGCATTTGTAGATTTTGTACCTAAAGGCTTTTCGACTGTATTCCAACTCATCATTGTAGAGCCCACTGCGTTGTCACTTTCCTAAGAGGGAGGAAAAAACGGTTAAAAAAATTATGTAAAGCTGAGAATCTTTAACCTTTTAAACCTCTGCCCACTTAAGTGGGATAACTGACCCCATAAGCTACGATGGGTAGCTCTTTCCACATTCCTGTGAAAAAACAGAATGATAATGGAGAATTAGAAAGCAATATAAACAATTATAGTATACATTTATATACATTATTTTGAGTGAAACACTGGTATAAAATTTAAACCAACTATTCTATAATATGTATTTGATGGTGTATTACATGTTATTTAAATAGGACAAATTAATAGGAATATATTCAAGCAAAACTGAGGGTAAGGCTACATTACGTATATATCTGCTGTGCAAAAGGGATGATTGTTTTGTACTTCAGTCACAGGGCATGAAATACAGTTAATGGAAAATTACAGTCTAAAAATATTGTTAATGTAAACACGTATCACTTCATACAAGTATAATAAAACCAAGCTGACAAGATGAAGCTAAACTAACGGCAATTTGTAATTAAAAACCCAAAATAACAGGAGTTAATATCCATTGTCAACAATATAAACTGATGATGAGTTGATAACAAAGTGCTTTTCCTGAAGACTGTTTGAGTTCCAACTCTGCAGGTGCCCTTGTGTGATCAGAATTTTGGACATAATCTTGCAAACTGGCATATGGTAATCAGGATTTTTACAAGATTACTCAGTTAGAGTGAATCTTCAATAAACCCTAATAGTGCATATTTTTGATATGTGAAAAATCGAACTTTATTAACTTACTTAGTAATAGTAAGGAGCAGTTAGTCATGAACAAAAAGACAATTCCTAAAGTACAACTCACTGCTCTGGAAGCACAGAAAATGATGCATTTGGGGATTAGCAAGTTTATCAGTGGTCCCCTGTGGTCCATTGTCACTCCTCTGACCTAACTTGAGAGGCTCTACTGTAACCCAATCATTGCATTCCTTAGGGATGCAGCCGAGGGAGGAAGAAGGTTAAGCTATGTATAGTTTGAAATATTATATAACATGCTTTCTTGAATAGAAAAGAGGTAAAATAATAGAATGGAAATCTGGCTTTTCCTGAAGCATTTATTACCTAGAGGGCAATCAATGAGAGAAGGAAAAAAGATTGAGAAACCCTGCCTTAACTAAAAAATAATGTGACCTTACTCCTAAAATACACATATCCAACAATAATGAAGAAAATCATGCTACTGAGAATAAGGAGCAAATACAGTCCAATTTATTTTATCAAATGGAAGGTTTACTCTTTGTGTATTAACATTATTCTAAGCTAACATTATTTTGTCAGCATTCTATAAAGGAAACTTTATTATATTTTTAGTTCCCCTCAGCTTTAATAGCTTAAAAAAGCCCAAAACAGAATATATAAATTAAGTAAGATAACTTGCAGTAAATTTAGTCATTTGGTAAGCAATCTCCTTAGAATAGATACTTTCAAAGACACACCTACATTACCTTTGTGGTCTAAAAGTTATTTCTGATCCAAAAGAGTTACCATTCCATTAAATGAGAAACTGGCAGAAAACAGTAAAGAAGGAGGTAGTATAAGTTTAAAATAAGACAGGTTAAGAAAACGCAACAATCTAAGGTCTGTGTCAGGGTAGGGAATTAAAAAAAAGAAGTCCATCCAGATGCCTAGAAGCCAAACATTTACTATTAATATACTGCAAAAATAAAAAAATTGGAATCTCATATACTGAGCAAAACTAATTTCACATTTGAATGAGAAATATTTCAAGAGAATTTGACAGAATATATAGGAAAAATGAAGAATACCTTGACTGCCATTCATGTAACCATTTCATTTCCTTACAGAATTTGTATGAAATGGTACATAGCGTTTCTATCATTAATTTGACACACATAGTTGGTTTTGGGTAAGGTGAATGTCACTCTGACCTGGCAATCCTTTTCCCATCTGGGACTGCTGTGGCACTCGGATTCCACACTGGACATGAAGGTGTGGGATTGACTGCTGGTGCTGGATGTCGCCAGCCTTTTCCTAGACTGGAGGAGATGGGAAGTTAGACACTTCACAGGCATCCCGGGGTGGGAGGCAACGGTTTCAAGACCTGTGGGGAAGAGAAAACATTGAAGTTTATGTCACATCTTTCCTACTTTCCCGCTGATCCTGAATCTTTACAGATAATTAGAAAAAGTATTAAGCATTTCATATCAGAACTATTTCCATGTAAACATTATTTCATCCATAAGGATGGCTTTGGGTGGTTTTGGCATACAAGTACTGTTCTGAAAGTTAAAAAACAAAGCAAAACTCTCAATATTCATAAAGTAGAAATCAGGACAAGGGAGTGAACTTACATAATTAGGAGGAAATCCATTTTGAATAACCATTATCCAACTTGAAACTTTTCTTGATGAAGGACCATTATTGATGTGCTATATCCAGGTGTGCTAGGAGGCTGGAATGGGACTACGTTTACTCGATTCAATTTGTATTTAATTAAAACTGTGGCTTTATTTTAATGTTGAGGTTTACACGCTTACAAGTGTGGAATTATATACATCCATAGAGACTTTTTTACACTACTGGGTAAAACAAATAATAGTGATTTGTCTAGGAGTGAGCCAGTGCAAGAAAGCAGCACCATCTATATGATACAAGTTCCTGTATCTTATATACAAATAATGATGCTAAAAATTGTTGCTCTGGGACTTCCCTGGTGGCACAGTGGTTAAGAATCTGCCTGCCAATGCAGGGGACACGGGTTCGAGCCCTGGTCTGGGAAGATCCCACATGCCGCAGAGCAACTAAGCCTGTGCACCACAACTACTGAGCCCACGTGCCGCAACTACTGAAGCCCACATGCCTAGAGCCTGTGCTGTGCAGCAAGAGAAGCCACCGCAATGAGAAGCCCGCGCATCACAACGAAGAGTAGCCCCCACTCGCCGCAACTAGAGAAAGACCACACGCAGCAATGAAGACCCGATGCAGCCAAAAATAATAATAAATTTAAAAAAATAAAAAAATAAAAATTGTTGCTCCTAAACTTAAAATGAGACACAACAGATAATCATGCTTTTACTAAAGATCACAATACATGCATATAAAGATTTTATATGTATATAAAAAGATATGTATATCTTGTTTTCTCTTTCCTGAAAAGGGTGAACATGACTTTAATCCCAAGTAAATTCTTAGTTTACTATAGTTTTTTTGATCTAATAAACCTTAGAATTTTGAAACTGGAAGGAGATTTGAAAGTCCGTCTAAAACAACTTTCTTTTTGGCACATAAATCCTGTCAATGGGATTCCTGAGACTCACTGCTCACCTTTACTCACCTTGACATCTGAGTAAACTGCTCAGCTGCTTTTCCCCAGCAACATGGGAACTTGTATCTGATCTAATGCGTCTGCATACTGTATATTTGCTACTGAGCTCCTTCTGGATCACCAATACGATCAGACCATTCCCTGCTTTGAAACTTTTGGTGGCTCCCCTTTTTCTACAGCTTACATTCCAGGCTCTCTGTAACCACACTGATCCTTCCCCATGTACCTTCCCCATCTACCTGCTAAACTTCCTTTTTCTTTGCACGTGCTTCCCATTCTCAGATGTTGTCCTGTTGTCTAAAGATAGAAGATACTTCCATGTGTCCATGCCTTTGCTCATGCCTCTATCTGAAATGCCCTTTTCCAATATACTTGGAGCTATTAAGATCCTATTTCTCTTTTTAGGTCCTGCTTGGTTGTTCCTATATCTTTATTTAGAACCATTCTTGGTTTTTCCAGTTAGCAATGATCACTTTTTGTGTTGGATCACAGTATTCTTCCTATGGCATTTATTTTATAGGACTGTTATTATTATCCCTTTATAACTACAATCACCACAAAATTACAGGTTCTCCGGAGGCAAGGACCTCTCGTATTCATCTTCATATTCACTCATGTAACCAGCACAGTGCCTACCACATTCTGATCAGATTAAAAAATGGCTGAGGGAGATGCAATCATTTCCCTCAAGAACAAGGCTATAAATCACATCTGCATATCCTATATTTTAACAGTTTTCTGTTTTGTTTTTTTTTTTCCCAGCCACACCACACGGCTTGCAGGATCTTAATTCCCAGACCAGGGATTGAGCCCGGGCCACAGCAGTGAAAGTGCCGAGTCCTAACCAGGACCACCAGGGAACTCCCTAACAGTTTTCTGTTTATCAAAGTTATATATATATTTCAGCTATTTTGATGTTCACAGAAGTGTTTGAAGAAACAAGAGGAAAGGGTCAGTGGACAGAAAACTATATTTGCAGTCAGGAATTAATTGACCCACTTACTAGTATGTAACTGAAAGTTTTTAATATTAATTTTCTCATTTGTAAAAAGGAGGCAATTCTTTCTATCTGTCTACCCATTCATCCAAGATATGTACAGATTTGAGGACCAAATTATAAACAAGGTAAAATCTATGGAAAAAACAACACTAATTACCCTTCAAAGCATCATTATTCACATTCCCAAGATGATGAACATGCATGCAGACAACTAAATTGTCCACTGTTGATAAGTTATAGAGGGTGAGGTTAAGTGCTATACAAATGTCCCACTTGCCTCCTTTACTACTTGACTTTTGTCTTTTATTGTGTAATAATTAAAAACCATATCTTTACTTCAACTATTTTATTTCAGAATCTTTTGGAAATAATTTTATAAAGGAACAGAATAGTACAAGTACTACATCTTCTCCATATAAGACTTCCATAGACTCAGTATAGTAATATTCACCCAATGATCATTACAATGTTATAGCTAATTGAAGAATTAACTTGACATTTTATTCTGTTGATTTAAAGATCTGCAACAACCCCTGTCAGAAATGGCATTTACATGATAAAATAGAGAAATGCCACAGAGCGTCTGAATATTTGAATATTCCAAAATACTTTGTTCCTCAAAAGACACATTTAATAGAATAAACTACCTTTTCTTTTATACTCACATGATTTTAGTAGTTTGCTAGAATAAGGAGTAACGTCCTTTTGATCTATAGACATAGGACAAGTTAGTCCTTGAGAAAGCTGTGATGTTTCAGACACATGGGTTGAAAGAATATTTGCAGAGTCTTGACTATTTTCTGCAACTGGTGTGTGCTATTAAAAAGAGAAAAACAAATGCTATGATTTACCTTCACAAAAACACCACCTAAATGCATTGACTGTTATACACCTAAGTAGATAAAATGTTGAAGTAATTCAACATGCTTGATATTTTAATTCATTTAAATGGCAATCATGAAAGGGCATATTATATGAGTTTTTTCTTATCAAGTACTTACAAATCCCAAAGAGCTGATGAGAGATAATACTTGTCCGGGGGTTCTTGAATAATAATCTTGCCTAGGTTTGGCTATAGATGGTGTTGTAAGAATATCCATCATATTGATATCTATGTATGGAAAGAAAAGTATATGATATTCTTCAAAAACTTCAACTGTCATTGACTAAGTCAATACTTATTTGCTCTGAACTTTGCCTCACTTTCCACATTATTAACATTATCTGTAAAGTTGGCTTGTGCAAGACAAATAGAGCTAGGAAAGCCATCACGCCATACAGTAAACATGTACGACTAAGCAGACAGAGAAATACAAACACCATATGTTCCCTCTATATACAGAATATAAAAAACAAAACAAAACAAAAAACCAAGCTCAGGGATACAGAGAACTGATTGGTGGTTGCCAGAAGTGGGGGTACGGGGTGGGAGAAATGGATGAAGGGGGTCAAAAGGTAAAAATAAATTAATCAATTAAAAAAAGAGTGATATCTAACTGGCAAAAAAATAATTCTTGGTAATAAAGTATTAGAAAGGAGGTTGAAGGGACTTTCCTTGTGGCACAGTGGTTAAGAATCTGCCCACCCATTTTTCACAGAACTGGAACAAAAAATTTCACAATTTGTATGGAAAAACAAAAGACCCTAAATAGCCAAAGCAATCTTGAGAAAGAAAAATGGAACTGAAGGAATCAGGCTCCCTGAATTCAGACTATACTACAAAGCTACAGTAATCAAGACAGTATGGTACTGGCACAAAAACAGAAATATAGATCAATGGTACAGGATAGAAAGCCCAGAGATAAACCCACACACATATGGTCACCTTATCTTTGATAAAGGAGGCAAGACCAAACAATGGAGAAAAGACAGCCTCTTCAATAAGTGGTACTGGGAAAACTGGACAGCTACATGTAAAAGAATGAAATTAGAACACTCCCTAACACTATACAGAAAAATAAACTCAAAATGGATTAAAGAACTAAATGTAAGGCCAGACACTCTAAAACTCTTAGAGGAAAACATAGGCAGAACACTCTATGACATAAATCACAGCAAGATCCTTTTTGACCCACCTCCTACAGAAATGCAAATAAAAACGAAAATAAACAAATGGGACCTAATAAAACTTAAAAGCTTTTGCACAGCAAAGGAAACCATAAAAAAGACGAAAAGACAACCCTCAGGATGAGAAAAAATATTTGCAAACGAAGCAACTGACAAAGGATTACTCTCCAAAATGTACAAGCAGCTCATGCAGCTCAATATCAAAATAACAAACAACTCAATCCAAAAATGGGCAGAGGACCTAAATAGACATTTTTCCAAAGAAGAGAGACAGATTGCCAACAAACACATGAAAAGATGCTCAACATCACTAATCATTAGAGAAATGCAAAACAAAACTACAATGAGGGATCACCTCACACCGGTCAGAATGGCCATCATCAAAATATCTACAAACAATAAATGCTGGAGAGGGTGTGGAGAAAAGGGAACCCTCTTGTACTGTTGGTGGGAATGTGAATTGATACAGCCACTATAGAGAACAGTATGGAGGTTCCTTAAAAAACTAGAAATAGAACTACCATATGACCCAGCAATCCCACTACTGGGCATATACCCTGAGAAAACCATAATTCAAAAAGAGTCATGTACCACAATGTTCACTGCAGCACTATTTACAATAGCCAGGACATGGAAGCAACCTAAGTGTCCATCGAAAGATGAATGGATAAAGAAGATGTGGCACATATATACAATGGAATATTACTCAGCCATAAAAAGAAAGGAAATTGAGTTATTTGTAGTGAGGTAGATGGGTCTAGAGTCTGTCATACAGAGTGCAGTAGGTCAGAAAGAGAAAAACAAATACCATATGCTAACACATATATATGGAATCTAAAAAAAAAAAAAGAAAAAAAAAGGTTCTGATGAACCTAGGGGCAGGACAGGAATAAAGATGCAGACATAGAGAATGGGCTTGAGGACATGCAGAGGGGGAGGGGTAAGCTGGGACAAAGTGAGAGAGTAGCATAGGTATATATACACTACCAAATGTAAAATAGATAGCTAGTGGGAAGCAGCTGCATAGCACAGGGAGAGCAGCTCAGTGCTTTGTGACCACCTAGAGGGGTTGGATAGGGAGGGTGGAAGGGAGACTCAAGAGGGAGGGGATATGGGGATATATGTATACATATAGCTGATTCACTTTGTTATACAGCAGAAACTAACACAACATTGTCAAACAATTATACTCCAATAAAGATGTTAAAAAAAAAAAAATCCACTTGCCAATGCAGGGGACATGGGTTCGAGCCCTGGTCTGGGAAGATCCCACATGCTGCGGAGCAACTAAGGCCGTGCACCGGAACTACTGAGCCTGTGCTCTAGAGCCTGCGAATCACAACTACTGAGCTCGTGTGCCACAACTACTGAAGCCTGAGCACCTAGAGCCCGTGTTCTGCAACGAGAAGCCACCACATGAGAAGCCTGCGCATCGCAACAAAGAGTATCCCCTGCTCCCTGCAACTAGAGAAAGCCTGCACGGAGCAATGAAGATCCAAGGCAGCCAAAAATAAATAAATAAATAAATAAATTTATTTACAAAAAAAAAAAGAAAAGGAGGTTGTAAAAAACGCTAAGAAAGGAATCAAAATATTAAGAATATAAAATAAATTTCAAAAACAGAATCTATTTAAGTAATTAATATAAATTGGGGGCCCCTCATGTGAGCTAACTATGTAAGTATAGGGCAAGATAGAAAATGATGCAGATTTCTATCAGGTTTCAATGTGTAACATTGTAAAATAGAACATTCAGCACTCACACGTAATATTGTACTATTTTCTTTTTTTTTTTTTTTTTATTTTTATTTATTACGGTACACGGGCCTCTCACTGTTGTGGCCTCTCCCGTTGCGGAGCACAGGCTCCGGACACGCAGGCTCAACGGCCGTGGCTCACGGGCCCAGCCGCTCCGCGGCATGTGGGATCTTCCCGGACCGGGGCACGAACCCGTGTCCCCTGCATCGGCAGGCGGACTCTCAACCACTGCGCCACCAGGGAAGCCCCTGTACTATTTTCTTTAGCTATCCAAAGTAGTAAGAGAAGTGTAATGCTTTGTATGTGGTGTAAGACTTTAAAAGGTAGGCTGAAAGTTTGAACTTAATGAATTTCATTTATACCTCATTTTGATGAAACAATAAAAATGACAATAAACTTCTTTAAAAATATTTTACAAATTAAACAAGTTAAAAAATATTATGGCAATGATTTCTTGGTTATGACTTTAAAAGCACAGGAAAAAGGCAAAAATAACAAATGGGACTATATCAAACTTCAAAACTTCTGCACATCAAAGGAAACAATCAACAGACTGAAAAGACAACCTACAGATTGGGAGAAAATATCTGTAAATTATTTATCTGTTAATGGGTTCATATACAGAATATAGAAACAACTGCAACTCAATAACAAAAAACCCCAAGTAATCTAATTAAATTGTGAACAAAAGTCTTGGATAGACACTTCTCTAAAGAAGATATACAAATGGCCAACATGCTTATGAAAAGATGTTCAACATTAGTAATCAATAGAAAAATGCAAATCAAAACTACAATGAAATATTACCTTACATGCATTAGGATGACCACTATCAAAAAACAGAAAATAAGAAGTGTTGGAAAGAATGTGGAGAAATTGGAACCCTTGTGCATTGCTGGTAAATTGTAAAATGTAAAACTGTGCAGCCACTATGAAAAACACAGTGGAGGTATCTCAAAAAATTAAAAATAGGGCTTCCCTGGTGGCGCAGTGGTTGAGAGGCTGCCTGCCGATACAGGGGACACGGGTTCGTGCCCTGGTCCGGGAAGATCCCACATGCCACGGAGCGGCTGGGCCCGTGAGCCATGGCCGCTGAGCCTGCGCGTCCGGAGCCTGCGCTCCGCAACAGGAGAGGCCACAACAGTGAGAGGCCTGCGTATGGCAAAAAAAAAAAAAATTAAAAATAGAATTTGATCTACATGACCCAGCAATTCCACTGCTGGGTATACACCCAAAAGAATTGAAAGCAGGGTGTTCAAGACTTATTTACATACTCATGTTCACTGCAGCATCATTCTCAATAGCGAAGAGGTAGAAGCAACCCAAATACCTATCGACAGGTGAATGGATAAAGAAAACACGGCACGCATATGTATATCAGTGTTTGTGTGTTTGTGTGTGTGTGTGTGTGTGTGTATAAAATTTGGCCTTAAGAAAGAAAGAAATCCTGTCACATGCTACAATATGGATGAACTTGAGGACACTATGCTAAGTGAAATACGTCAGTCACAAAAAGACAAATACTGTATGATTCAACTTATATGAGGTATCTAAAGTAATCAAACTCATAGTGAAAGTAGAACTGTGGCTGCCAGGGCTTTAGGGAGGGGAAAATGGAGTATTGAGTTTCAGTTTTACAAGATGAAAAAGTTGTAGAGATCTGTTGCACGACAATGTGACTAGAGTCAATATTACTAAAGTACACACTTAAAAATGGTTAAGATGGTAAATTTTACCTTGAGTTTTTTTTAATCACAATCCAAAAAAATAAAGGAAAAGAAAGAAACCAAATCAGAAAAACCTGTATGCTCCAAGATGTTTTTCATAGAATTATTTATATTAACCTAAATTCACAATGTTTGGGAGCCATCTTTAAGCTAAACCATGAGATATGAAAAAATAAAAATAAAAAGTATTAATATTATAATATAAAAATAATTTAAATTCATCAGCAATATCACCCTAATACAACATTTTTCTGGGACTTCCCTGGCGATCCAGTGGTTAAGACTCTGAGCTCCCAATGCAGGGGGCACGGGTTTGATCCCTGGTAGGGGACCTACAATCCTTCATGGCGCACAGCGCAGACGAAAAAAAAAAAAAAGAAAAAGAAAAAAGGAAAAAAAAATACAAAATTTTTCTCATTTGTAATTTTTCCCAATATCTTTTCTGAAACTGAGGAGTTAGATTTGCCTTATTAAAAAATGTTTAGGGCTTCCCTGGTGGTGCAGTGGTTGAGAGTCCGCCTGCTGATGCAGGCGACACGGGTTCGTGCCCCGGTCTGGGAAGATCCCACATGCCATGGAGCGGCTAGGCCCGTGAGCCATGGCCGCTGAGCCTGCGCGTCTGGAGCCTGTGCTCCGCAACGGGACAGGCCACAACAGTAAATGTTTAGATTTTAGAAAAATAAGTGATTAATATACTGTTTAGTATGGAACATCCCTAGTGCATTTCGTCTACAATCTGTACTTATTATTACAGCTATGAAAAGTATGGGTAGTCACGTGAGTTAGGATTAATAAAAACTATAAATGGTCCACATCAACTCAGGTCACATTTTACCAAATATATGAAAAATCTTTAGGTCTTCAAAATGCTTCAAAATTTGTACTTGCAAATAAAGAACTGTAGCTCTCTATTTACTTTCAAATATTTATAATCCCACGGTTAATAATTTATAACCCAATATTTGGTTCTACTGCTCATTTATTTCCATCCTCTGCCATTTTAGTAGATAATACAACAAACTACCAAGTCAGGAAGCTGTCATTTCTCCATGTTTCTGTAATAAACTTAAGTAGTTTCTAGTTTCTCCCTGTTAGAAACAATGCAGCTACAAACAACTTTATTCATATATATTATTCTTTTTTTTTTAATTTTTATTTTATTTTATTATTATTATTATTTTTTGCGGTACGCGGGCCTCTCACCATTGTGGCCTCTCCCGTGTGGAGCACAGGCTCCGGATGCGCAGGCTCAGCGGCCATGGCTCACGGGCCCAGCCACTCCGCGGCACGTGGGATCCTCCCGGACCGGGGCACGAACCCGTGTCCCCTGCATCGGCAGGCGGACTCTCAACCACTGTGCCACCAGGGAAGCCCCATATATATTATTCTTTTGAACCATTTCCTTAGAATAAATTCTAAGACACAAGTCACTAGGTCGAAAAGAATTAAAACCTTTGTTTCTTAAATCATACTGCTCCATTTCCTTTGGAAAGAACTATGCTTATTTGCAATGTCCCTAGGAAAACTTCCTGTGCTTTCTGCAGTCTCATTAACACTGGATCTTCAGCTCTCCATTTTTGCTTTTGGCTAGCTTAATAGTGTAAAATGATTCATTTATTACTTTTTTAAATTAGCATTTCTAGTGCTATGAGTAGTGAAATTAACATACTCCCATATATATGTATTTGTGAATTCTGTGTTTATTTTCTCTGCCCCTTGTTTATCAACGTGGTGGTCATGTATATTTGAATAATTTCTTTAGGTATTAGTTGTCTATCATGTTGTAGTTATTTTAGTCATTTTACTGATGTTTAATTGGTCAGCGCCAGTTTCAGTAGGGATAAAAATTTGGAAGAACAGAAACTGTCAGTTCCTCTTTGAAGATCCAAAGATCTTCAAGGACCTTTGAGGATATAAGACTAGTTAATCCGTTTTCATCTTTAATTGAATGAAAATACCAGTATACGTTTTTAGCCTATTGCAGAAAAAAATAATCATCAAATTTTATTCGTTATAAACTAACAAAGAAAACAGTATAAATTAATGAAATGTAGTGTCTAAAATGTGCTGGATTTTTTAAAAGGTACTTACTTGCTGTGTTTCTTACCTCTATTCAAAGTAACTCTGGAAAGGCCAAAATCTGTTAGTTTAATGTGACCTTCATTAGAAATAAGCATATTGTCTGGTTTCAAATCCCTGCACATATAAAAAACAAATAGCAGATAACTAAAAAAGAGCTAGTGTTGATTTTAGAATTACCAGCGAAAAAAACAGAAAGTTACAGAACAATCAAACCCGACTTATTTTCTCTCATTGGTGGCTTTGAAAGTGCAGAAAACAACTCTCAAAAGCAAACTATATTTTGTATATCTGAATCTACAAGAAAGTTAACTATTTAATGCTAGATTATCTTTGGCATCATTCATTACATATTCTATTAAAATAAATAAACTTCATTAGGTAAAATAAACCTCAAGCCAGGTCAAAATCATATTTACCTCTTTCAAGGAGGGTGAGATTAAGCCTTAATCGAAAAGAGCCACTTAACCTTTCTTTGCAAAGAGCAAAACACTGTAAATCAGCTGGCATTATAACATATAGCACTTTTATATGACGTACAGCCAAAGGAGTGGAAAAAAGATTCAATATTCTCCACAAAAGGGGATACCCGAAGACAAAGCAACATATTCAAAACACACAGGGAGATGAAAGAAGAGTTGATATAATTTGTAAACTCACACAAGTTACTACTAAACTTTAGATAACCCAGATATGTGGGGTTATGCAAATATTTAAGACTAAAATATTTAATATATAATTTGATTACTTGTGCTTTAAGTAATAGTTTGGAGAAAAGTCAGTCTTTACCTGTGGATGATTCCATGTCTATGAAGATAGTCTAGAGCCAATGCCACTTCAGAAATATATTTCACAGCCATCTCTTCATCAAAATAACCATATATGTGTAGGAGAGACTTGACATCTCCACCTATGAGATACTCCATTACCTGTCAAAAGGAATATAAATATTGCAAAATAAAACCAATATGACTACTTTAAAAATATCTTACTTGAGCATTACGGTTATGCATTTTTAGCATGGTCCTATAAGACACATTTTCTTGGTGTCACTCAGTACACATCAATACCAGGTTTACTCATACTGCCATATACTTTTTAAAATTTAAATTAAACTGTTCAGTCTGAACAAAAATTCAGACATATAGAAAAGGTGTGAGAAGAGCAGGATGACTTCTCATATTCTCTCCATCTACATTCGCCCATCGTTAGCACTTTGCCACATTTGCTTTCTTCCTCTTCACATATATGAATATAAAAATGAATATTTATGCTAATCATTAACATGATTATGTTACATAATAAACATAACACAATTATGAACATCATTAACATAAATACCTTACAGGCATGTATTTTTGTTCAGATTAAGCAGTTTAATTTAAAAAAATATGGCGACATTAGCAACTGGTATTAATCTATAACTTTAAAATTTTGGCTAACTCAAGAATAAAATTGAAGAGGTCATCATGTATCTCCCAACAAGGTCATTCTTATGTAACTATAGCATAATAAAATGCACGGAATTTAATTCTAAAATAATGCTATTACCTGTTGTATAGTCTGTATTCAAATTTCTCTGATTACCTCAATATTGTTCCTGATGGCCTCTCTCCTCATCTCTCATGCCCAGGCCAGGACCATGCATGAGATTTAGTTGTCATATCTCTTTCATCTCCTTTAATCTGGAATAACTTTTTGCCTTTTTTTGGCAGGGTGCTGGATGGGGCATGGGACGGTCTTTCATGACATCTGATTATTTCCTTATGATTCAATTCAGGCTATGAATTTTGGGCAGGAATACTACAAAATCGATGTTGAGTACTTCTTAGTGACTTCCACCAGATGAGACTGCTAAATATTAGTGTGTTCCATTCCTGGTAATGTTAACTTTGATGACTTAGTTAAGGTGGTGGCTTCCAGGTTCCTTCACTGAAGAAGTATTTTCTCCCTCTTTGTAATTAATAGGCAATCTGGGGAAGATACTTTGAAACTATGTAAATACCCTCTTTCCCCAACAAACTTTCAAGCAATGATTTTAGCATCATATGACTATACATGATTCTTGCCTGAATTCATTACTGCTATGAGGCTGCAAAGCTCTATTAATCCTTCTACATGTACTAGTCATTATTCTCAAAATTTTCTATACTTTCAAGCTATAAAATATTGCCTACTAAGGACTTGATAATATAAGTCATTTCTTTCCTCTTTAAGGCAATCACTTCCCTGGTACACAGAGGTTAGTTAATATTTGTTGATAGTATGAATCATTAAAACATTACTAAGCACAAAAACTGTGCTAGCATGGGGAATATAGCATGAATAAAATGTAACTGATGCACTTAATGATTATAATTTAGTAGTAGAGAAATAAGCAAACAGGTAACTGTATTTGAGCTCATGAGAATGCTTGTTTTCTCACACCCTCATCAACAATGATTATCAATACTTTTTGTCAATCTAAGGAAGAAAAAATGAACTTGTTTAAATGTTTATTTACTTTTAGGGAGATTTAGCATCTTTACACTGCTTTTAGTCTTTCATATTTCTTCTCTGAATCACTGGTATTCTTTGCCTATTTTTCTACTGGGGTATTTACCCTTTCTTCCTGACCATGTATATGGTATTTTGTGTCAAAGTAGGCTTTATTTTTCACATAGTAAGATGTGCACCATTCTATTAAAATAATCACATCAGTTTTCTTCTAGTACTTTTATGGATTCTCTTTTCGAGTAGAAATCTCTGATACAAAAGGGGAATAAATGAACTTTGCACTATCTCAAGTTTCATAACCACACAGAATTATTTCAAGTGACTTCAGAGAACAGAATCTTGATAGTACATGCATCATAAGGGCAAAAAGAATTGCAGAGAAATCCTAAATTGAATCCAGTTGTTTTAGTGTTAGGAAAACAATACTGGTATTGCTATGTTGAAAATACTATATGCGTATAGATATAGATATAGATATAGATATATAGATATAGTTAGGAACCCAGATTTTCAGGGTGAAAGAATACAAATATTTTTCAAAATATTTTTATATTTTATATATTTTTCAAAAATGTTAAGTAAAAATTCTGTAATTTTCCTTTGACCTGGAAATATCAGCATGAACTCGTGATATATTTTTCTATAAAAATGTGTGTTTCCTAGTCTGTCCACTGAGAATGCCTAAAAGGAATGACAACCTAGTGGCAATGAACTTTTCTAATCACTACCTCCTAGATCACGGCCTCTAGACACTATTTCCCAAAAAGGAGGTAGACCTCCTTGCCTAGATCTAGTTCAGGACATTTGCAAAATGAGCCTTAACTATCTTGTCATGCCAGAAAGCAAGAAAGCTATCAGATTACTAGGATAGTATAAAAAGACAAAGAGATGAACTGAAGGGGCTCCCACTCACTAAAGATGGGACAATTTAAACACAGAAAAAAATGACTGCAATGGATTAAAACACATCAAAACTACAATATTCCATGAATTCATAAAGATACTTTAAAAAACACACTTATTTAGAGGTTGCACTTCTGAAAACTGGTGATGAAAGGGAAAGAATCAAGCATTTATTCTGCCTTCCTTAGACAAGCTGTATTTCAGAGCAATGAAATAGATAATAAGGGAAAGTTCTTTATAGATGAATTCCAGCTAATAAAAGCTGAAGGAATAATAGAATTTTTTAAAATCATCATTTTGAAAACCTTAATAAAGAATCCAGGCATTAAGGTAAGCTGGGATGAAGTGAGAGAGTGGCATGGACTCATATATACTACCAAATGTAAAATAGATAGCTAATGAGAAGCAGCCACATAGCACAGGGAGATCAGCTCAGTACTTTGTGACCACCTAGAGGGGTGGGATAGGGAGGGTGGGAGGGAGACGCATATATATATATATATATATATATGTATAGCTGATTCACTTTGTTATAAAGCAGAAACTAACACACCATTGTAAAGCAATTATACTCCAATAAAGATGTTTAAAAAAATAAAGAATCGAGGCATTGAATCACAGGATGCCAAGACCATTACATGAAAGGTTGGTGGAGGAGTTGGAATGGATTAAACAAATTTGGTGAAGTGTTGCCAACTGGTGGACTTGGATGATGATATATGGGAGTTCATTATAGTAATCTTTCAATTTTTGTATATGTTTGAACATTTCCGTAATAAACATTTCCATCTTTATGTTCCTTGTACTAGTATAGTACCTGGAAAGTAGTAATCAATTATTTGTTGTTATTGTGGCTAAGTTTAGTCATACTTTATCTTTTTTGTCTCAAAGGTAGCTTTGATTTCTAGGAAATCTTTTGTCTAAGCCAGTGCTTCTCAAACTTTAACATGCCTGGGGATCTTGTTAAAATTCACAGTCTGGGGAATTCCCTGGCAGTCCAGTGGTTAAGACTTGCACTTCCATTGCAGGGGGTGCGGGTTCGATCCCTGGTCAGGGAACTAAGATCCCACATGCCACACAGCATGGCCAAAAAATAAAAAACAAACAAACAAACAAAATCTCATTCTGATTCAGCAGATTTGGAGTGCAGCTTGAAATTCTGCATTTGTAATAAGCTCTCAGACAATGCTGATACTGCTTGTCTGTGGACACACTTTGAGTATCAAGGATCTAAACCAGTGATGAAGTTAGTAGACAAGATATGGCCGTCTATCTGATTTCAGGAATAATAATTCAAAAATATTATAGTAGGGACTTCCCTGGTGGCACAGTGGTTAAGAATCCGCCTGCCACTGCAGGGGAGATGGGTTCGATCCCTGGTCCGGGAAGATCCCACATGCCACGGAGCAACTAACCCAGTGCGCCACAACTACTGAGCCCGCGTGCCTAGAGCCCGTGCTCTTTGGTCCATGGGCCAGTTTGCCAACTATTGGCTTAAAAGATGTAAAGTCAATTATTCTGTTTGTTTACACTAAACAGAAGCTATTGGAGTTACCAAACATTTAATCCACACACTGTCTCTGGAGTCAGAAGAACCTCTAGAACTTGAAGTCAAAACACCTACCATCCTCACCTCTTCCTACCCCCACCCAAATTCCTCATTAGAATTAACAGAGTGTAAGCTGCCATGTTAAATGAAAAGCAAGCAACTCTCTAAGTCCATAAACCCCAAATCCACCACTTCCCTAAATCTTTCCTTATCATACCCCAAGCTTTATGTAGTATTTCTATTATGCATCCTTTACTTAGCAAATATTTGTAGCACTCTGTGCCACACACTGTTCTACATAGTTTATATCAACCTATTGAAATTTCATAACAACCTCTGAGGTAGGTACTATTATTATGTCCATTTTGCAAATGGGAAACTGAAGTGTGATAGTTCATTTTATGTGTCAACTTGGCTAAGCCATGGTACCCAGATATTTGGTCAAACACTGATCTAAATGTTGCTGTGAAGGTATTTTTTAGATAAGATTAACATCTAAACCATTAGACTTTGAGTAAAAGCTGATTACCCTCCATCATGTGGGAGGGCCTTATCCAATCAGCTGAAGAGAAAAAAAATTGAGGTGTCATCTCTTTCTCCTCCAAAGAGGAAGGGATTCTACCTCTTCACTGCCTTTGAGCTTGAGCTGCAACATCAACTCTTCCTGGAGTCTACAGCCTGCTGGCCTACCCTGCAGATTTTGGACTTGCTTGCACCATAACCATGTAGGGCAATTCCCTAAAATAAATCCCCCTCTCTCTCTACACACACACACACACACACACAGACACAGACACAGGCAGACAGACAAACACACACACACACTCTATTGTTCTTTTTCCCTGAGAACCCTAACTAACAGAACAGGTAAGGTAACTTGGCCAAGGTCATAAAGCTTGTAAGTGCAAGATCTGGAATTCAAACGCAGGTACTCTGAACCCAGAGACTGTAATTCTTAAGTCACTGGGTTCAGTGATTCCTGAATGAAGAGAAAATGTTAAGTTATTTACTCACCAAGTAGACATTGTTTGCTGACTGCAGTGAATAGTACAAATGCACAATGAAAGGACTTTTGCTTAGGGCCAGGGCATCCCTCTCAGCTTGTACTTGATGAGTCATATTTTTGTTGATCATGTCTGCTTTTTTGACAACCTGTAGTACGTAACATGACAACAGACACATCCATTTTATTTTTTATGACAAAGTATTCTCAGGTTTCCTAGTTGCCATCATGAAAACAATCAGAGAGAGAAAACACAGATGTTGTTTGGACCTCACATTGCCAGTGGGAAACTCTGCTAGAAAAACAGCTAATATGGTGAAAACAAAACAAAACTTTCTTTAACATAGAACTGCTTATCTTGGTATCAAGTGGCAAAAGTATCACATCCCTTTTGATAAGGAAAAAGATGTAAGCAAATGCTCCCTGACTACCCTACCTATTGGTAGAAAAAAAATTCTGTTCTGTTCTTCTTACAGCTAAGCCAAAATATAGTAATGTTCCTAATACGTCCCCAGATAATCAGGAATGTAGGCATAGAGAAATAGTAGCTAATTCACTTTTTAAATTTCTGGTTCTTTGATGGATGGAAATAGAAACAGAAAGAGAAAGAATGTATGTTTGTTTGCCTGGGAAAAAAATTTCTTAAAAACGGTTAGAGTTTACTGAAACTTAATAGTCTCAGATGCTGTGTTATAGAAAATAACTAACTACTCTTTTTAAATCTCAAGGTAACTGGTAAGGAAGCAAAACTATAATCTACATTAAAATTGGAGCACTAGGGCTTCCCTGGTGGCACAGTGGATAAGAATCTGCCTGCCAATGCAGGGGACACAGGTTCAATTCCCGGTCCGGAAAGATCCCACATGCCGCAGAGCAACTAAGCCCGTGCGCCACAACTACTGAGCCCGTGCTCTAGAGCCTGCAAGCCTCAACTACTGAGCCCGCGAGCCACAACTACAGAAGCCCATGCACGCAGAGCCCGTGCTCTGCAACAAAGAGAAGCCACCACAGTGAGAAGCCCACGCACCGCAACAGAGTAGCCCCCGCTCGCTGCAACTAGAGAAAAGCCCGCGCACAGCAATGAAGACCCAACGCAGCCAAAAATAAATAAATTAAAAAAAAAAACTGGAGCACTAAACTGAATAGTTAGTAACATTGAGATCAATTCTCAGGAAGATTACAAGTCAAAAAAAGGCATATTTCTTCCAAAGATTCAATAGAACATGTAATAAAATCATTAATACGCTGTAAATTCCAGCCTTAGAGCCTTTCCCTAAGAAAACAAGGGAAACTGACAAAGCCAGTCTGAAACATGATTTCACCTATCATTCCACTAGATTGCAAGCTCTATGAGGGCATGTTCGTTTTGTTACCACTGTACACAGACTCTACACAGAAAGCGGATATCCACAAATACTTATCAAAAAGTGTATTGGTGTTTTCATTTCAACAGCTAATAGTGACTGGTTAGTATAATAGAAGGAAACGCAAAAAATCTTGGGAACATATGAAGCGAGAGAGAATTAATTTCAATAGGGTGGGTCTGAAAGGTCAGGAGAGGTTTGAAGGGGGGCTAAGATGAACCTTAATACATAAACAACATAGGTGGAGAAGAGCAGAGAAGGGTGGAAGGAAGGCACTTAAGGAGGAAACAGAATAAACATAAATTTGGAAGCAAGACAATACACAGCATTCAAGGACTAGCCAATTGTCTGGAGTGGCTAGAACATAGAATATGTAGAAGATACAGTGGAAACTTAGAGCCAGAACTTGGAGCATGACTGCTTTTCTAAGGAGTTTGGACTTTAGCTTGCATGGCACAGCCAAAGGAATAAAATAGTGATTCCAGTTAGGGGCCTGTTCCAATAGACTAGGTATAGTAATGAAGGCCTGATGAACCTTAAAAACATCATGTCAAGTGAAAAAAGCCAGATGCAAAAGACCATATATTTCATGATTCCATTTATACGCAATGTCCAGAAAAGGCAAACCTATAGTGATAGAAAGTAGACTGATGATTACCTGGGGCTAGGGGTGTTAAGTGGGGGAGACATGGCAGATGAGCAAGAGAGGTCTTTTCAGGGTGATGGGAATGTTCTAAAATTGGAATGTGGTCATGGTTACTCTATATTTAATTTACTAAAAACTGAATTGTACTTTTAGAAAGAGAAAGAAAGAAAGAAAGAAAGAAAGAAAGAAAGAAAGAAAGAAAGAAAGGGAAAGAAAGAAAAAAAGAAATGGAAAAAATGAAGTCCTGTACTTGGGCAGACTTGGGAATGGAATGGAAGGGGTAATACGAATATGAGACAGAATTGACAGGCCTAGTTGAGAGAGAGAATATACAGATGAAGTAGAGAAAAGTTAAAATGCCTGAAGTTTTTAGCTTGAAATGACAGAGATGGTGGTATTATTACATGGAGAGAAGGAACACAGGAGGCAGTTAGGTGGAGAGGATTGTTCGAAGTTAGGCAAGCACAATTCCGAGGTGCCTGCTAGATAGTCACACAGCAATGTCCGACAGAAAGTTGAAACTGCATCAGACTGCTGGCTTCTTTCCTTTATCACAATCACTCAGTGCTGAGATGTGAGTAATCTGAAACTATGGGAGTGGATAAGAATCAAGAGTGGCCAGAACAGCTTCAAATATATTGAAAGCTCTTGAATGCTTTGGAATGATATATACTACTGCAAGGATAAAGGGGTGATTTGGGACATATTTCAGCTCCGTCTTTAAATATAAGTACATTCTAGATTTATACAATGAAGAGAAAAGTGGGGTTTAATGAGATCTTTTTGTCATATAGGTCAGAAGTTAATCTACATCACAGCATGCTGACTACAGTCAATCCTACATTGTATATTTGAAAGCTGCTGAGAGAGATCTTAAAAGTTCTCATCACAAGAAAAAAAATTTGTAGCTGTGTCATGATGGTTGTTAACTAGACATTGTGGAGATCACTTCGGCATAGACAAATACTGAATCATTATGTTGTACACCTGAAACTAGTAAATGTCAGTTACATCTCAATAAAAAAATGAATCTGTCAAACTGATAGAATTAAAATATAATATGGAAATAACTGTTTCAAATTTAAAGTTTCAACCCTAATCCTGGTAAAGCCCAAATTAGTAAAAATGATTCAGAAGTTCTGGCGTCTCCTAAGCGTTCGCGGTGCGAAGAGAAGGGCGGGGCAGAGGTGGCACCGACTTGCCCGCGCTGTCACCCCAAGTGAGAAGTTATCCCACAGGGCTCCGGAGGTTTCAGCGAGCCAGGCACCCGTCTAGTCGTTCCAGCGGCCCTGGGGCCTGCCCAGTTCAGGGGGCGGGAAGGAGGACGCAAGGGCCGGCCTCTTTCGCTTTCTTTATTCCTTGACTCTTACCTTCACCGCGTACAACCTGTTGCCTTTCTGCCCCAGATACACCTTCCCGAAGGCGCCGCGGCTAATGGGCTTCACTATGGTGAACTCTTCAATGGAGGGAGGTCGTGGCACCGGGATCCTATTCACGAACTCCCCTGTCGGCGTGCCTCCTCCACCCTCCATCTCGCCGCCGGCGGTGGTCTCCATAGCAGGCCAGCCCGGATGCAAGTCTCTATCAGCGACCAAGAGCCCTTCCGGAGCCGCAACTCCCGCCAACTGGTTTCAAAGCGGGGCTCCGCCCACGCCGCTCTTCGGCCGTGATGTCACCCCGTCGCTGCGCACGCCACGCCCAATCCAGTACGGCCCCGCCCCTGTCACCTGCTCTGCGTCGACGCAGAAGGCAAAGAACGTGAAGGCGGGGCAGCTGGGAAATTCTTGAACCAACCACAGACTCTTCCAGGGTGACAGCAGCTCACGAACCTCGTTTGTAGTGACAGGGGGCGGCACAAATAGTTCTTGGCAGACGGGGAAAGGGATTACGGGGGCTTGATTCTGAATCGAGGGATTTGAAGAGTTTTCTCCCGACCTCCAAATGAGGCTGGTGGGACCCGGCCCTCATCCCACTTTTTTTTGTTTTGTTTTTTAAACTCCTTTACGGCCTCCCACCCGCGGGAGAAACGTAAACCAGTTCGGTCTGGTCCGTGAAACAATGGCCAGTGAAATCACAGAATGTGGAGAAACTGGATGAGCAGGATGCTCATGACTGGTCCTGTAATTTGACATTTTAACAGGATGTAATTTGCCTATCTGAAATAGGAAGAGCTTTTTATTGTGGGGAAGATAAAGAGCACTTAATTGTAGCAAAAGAGGTTATCATAGCTCAAGGCCCAGTCAGAACAGGAGAATATATTGTAAGTACTGATAACAAAGTTGGAGACAGATTTTAACAGGGTCCGTGTCTTTCCCTTTTAAAAAGAAAACTACAGCCAATGAGCTTTGGGGCTCCGGCGCCTGCATTACTCAACGTGAACGTGAACTACCTTGGGGGGCGTCAGCTGTCCCCGAAAAGGCGGAGCGTTGACGCACGCCCCTGGGTGGTGGCCTCACCTGCCCCGGAAGTACTGTTGCGTTAGCGCCTTGCCTTCCGGGGCAGATTGTCTGTCTTTGCAGCAGCTGTAGGGAGGGGAGGCCATTTTCCGTTTCTAGAAGAGTGAGGGCGAGAGGAGAGAGAAAAGAGGGGGAAAAAAAGGGCTCAGCGCCTCCCCGCCGGGCCGTGGACAAGAGGGACAGTTTCGGCAGGCGGGTGAGGTTGCTGACGGCCTGGAGAAGATGTTTTCGCTGTCGAACACCGTTCAGCCCCAGGTGGGTCCAGCATCCAGTCCATTTTTCTCCCCCTCGCCCTGCCCGCGTTTGCCGTTTGCGTTTCTTGGAAGTGGTTTCTCTTACGGGATCGTAGGAGGGAAGCGTTTAATCCAGTTGGAGTCCTGGGGTTGAGAAGGGATCGGGGCGACGCTGAGAGTAAAGGGCTGACGATGAAGCAGAAGCGAAATAGGAGCGTGATGGAGATCATGGCTTATTGATTTGATTGCGTGGAATTTTTGCTACAGAATCCATCAGGCATTGTTCAGTGCTAGACCTTCTGGGGTGGGGGTGGGGAGGGGGCAGGGGAAACGTCTGCCGTAGATGTAAAGGGAGCAAGTGATGTTTCTTTTCCATCCTTCCGCCTCTTCAAAGACTTTCGTCTTCACAGCCCCGATTTTCTACTCTTTCTTTTAAATGGAATTTAACCCAAACATGCTATAAAAATTTGAATAATCTTCTCTGAATGCTTTCCCTCTTTTTTTGACCAAAAGTAAGTAATAAATATATATTGATATATTTAAGTTATTGACTGCTTGCACTTAAAATTTTGATTCAGCCTCCTCCCCATCTTTTCATTTTTGAAGCAAAAGGGCAGAGAAAAAAGATTCCAAGCGTTTTTATTTTTAACTCTTCTTTCAGGAGTAATCACCGGTGATAATGTTTTGTTCTTAGTTCATTTAAAAATCTTTTTTGATGGTGACATTTAGATTTTTTTGAGAGTTCTTCACAGTTTTGCAAATAAACAGTTTTTGAAAACATTCCGTTTTAAAAATAATTTTTGACGTTCTTTAGTTTCTTGGTTAAAGCATATAATTATGTTCCTCTGTGTAACCTCCACTCCCTTTTGTTTTGTTTTGTTTTGAATTTTGCTAATACTGGTGGGGTAATAAAAAATAAAGTGGTTAGTTATTTATTGGGCATCAGTAATGTGCTAGGTGAACAAAGCAAATGTGGAATCTTGATGATATGAAGTAAAAAATGAGTAGGAGTTAGCCAAGTGAAGAGTGAATAGATATGAACAGGTAGACAGAACATCTGGAGGTTCTGAGATAGTGACAAGCCTAGTTGATTGGAGGAACAGGAATAAGGCCAGTGTGGCTAGAGCGTGGTGATTAAAGGGCCAGTGACCGAAAGGAGGTTGGGGAGAAGACATGATGCAGATCATACAGGGTGTTACAAGAAGGGACTTTGGGCTTCATTTTAAGTTTGTTGGAAACCATTGAATGCTTTTAAGCATGTTAAGGAGTAAAATGATCAGATTTACATTACAATCTATTACAGAGTAATAGATTACTCTGGCTTCTTGCTGTGTGGAGAATGTTGAAGGACAGAGTGGAAATGTTTTCAGTTTAGGATGTTATTGCACTAATCCAGAGAGGGATAATGCACCGCTAAGTGGTGACAGTGGTTATGGAAAGAAGGGGATGAGATTTATTTTGAAAAAAGAACAGAGGGAATTCCCTGGTGGTCCAGTGGTTAGGACTCCCTGGTCGGGAAACTAAGATCCCAGAAGCCACGCGGTGCGGCCAAAAAAGAAAGAAAGAAAAAAGAATAGAATTTCATGAGGGATGATGGAAAGAGGTGTTTCTGGGTTTGATCAGCTGGATGCAAGTAGGTGTTATTTACCAAGATGACCGGTGTCTGGAGGAGTCCTACCAATCGTTTGAAAAAGAAGTTGACTTGGCTTGCTGAATACAACATTAAACCTTTTGAAACTGAACTGCAAGAAATTGATGTCAAGAAGACCCGATTTTAGGAGAATTTATCATTAGCTGAATGGAGTTAGTGGTATGCAATGTCGGTAGAGGTAGTGAAGGAATTTTCTGTACTATAGGCAGTCCTAACTGGACTCACTGTAGGACCGTTAATATGACACAGAAGTTCAACCTTTTCATTGAGGAGAGATCAAACCATCTTTTAGCAGTTTAAATTCTTTATTGAATGAGAAGAGGTACAACTAATTAAAATAAAACTTTTCAAGGTTATAGACAGGGAATTCCCTGGCGGTCCAGTGATTAGGACTTCACACACTCGCTGAGGGCCCAGGTTCAATCCCTGCTCGGGGAACTAAATTCCCAGAAGCCGCACGGGGAGGCCAAAAAAAACAAAAACAAAAAATGTATAGACAGAAAATATGTATCTTAAAATAATTTGATTCCTATAGTTTTTTGTTTGTTTGTTTGTTGTTCTTGTTTTTTGGTCACGCTGTGCAGCTTGTGACATTGAACCCAGGCCCTCAGCAGTAAAAGCGTGGAGTCCTAACTGCTGTACCGCCAGGGAATTCCCTGATTCTTGTAATAGTTAGTTTTAAAAGAGCTTATCGTTTCTTTCTGACTCTAAAAATAATACACGCTAATTGCCAAAAATCCTGAAAAGAAAAATATAAATAAGGAAGATCACCTATAATTTCATAACCCCAATAGATCACATTTTAGAATAAGTTCTTTCATCCTTTCAACTCTACACAAATATGTGTATGCATACTTTTAAAAAAAATGTTACATAAAGGTTTATGGCTCGCTTTTTTCATTTAAAAAACAATGTTATGAATTTATTTCTGTATCAGTAACCATGGGATGAAAAGTCTTTAAGTGAAATCTGGAGTCAGATTATCTGTGTTAGAATCCTTCTTCCTATAGTACTTTCTTGCTGAGAAAGTGTGATAGAAATGTAATAGTAACTAATGTTTATAGTTGTTAGGAGGATTAAATGAGATAATATAAGTAAAGTACATAGTTCAAAATGTGGCATATAATAAGAGTCCATTTAATTTAATCATTTACTCAACAGGTATTTATTTAGCACCTACTGTGTGCATTATTGCACTGGGATACAGTATTGAATGAAATAGAGGAAGTAAGGTAGAGCCAAATAAAATATAAAGTGTTAAGTTATATTAAGTATAACGTAAAAACAGTTTATATTAAATAATTTATAAATAAAACAGAGAAAAATAATAAAATAGAGGAAAAAAACCTTGCCACATGAAACTTATGCTCCAGTGGGAGAATGTGGTATAATAAATAAAAACTATTTGGTCTTTGTTCCCAATTCTTGGCACAGAGCTCCTAAAACCCTTGAAATTTCCTGTGATGGGTGTGTCTTTATTCTTAAAGCCCCTCTTTGGATCACACCTGGATTTACGCTAATGAGGTGACTTAAACTGGGGTTTCTAGTAAACAATATATAGGTAAATAAGTAAGTATATGAAGTGTGTTAGATAATGAAAATGTCAAGAAGAAAAAATAGAGCAGAGGAAGGCAATAAGGAATATTTTTTAGGGGAGGGTTGCTGAAATCTTACATAGGTTGTCCAGGGAGATGCATGAAAAGATGACTTGTGAGTTAGGAACTGAAGGGAGAGCAAACTATGTGACTAACTGGACAGGGGAATAAACAGCAGTGCAAAGTCCTTGAGGTGAGGGCCTGCCAGGTGTTTTCCAGGAACAGAAAGGGGGATGCGGTGGTGGGAGCAGAGAGAAGGAAGGGGAACTTAGTGGTGGATCAATTCGGAGAGGTGATGAAGAGCCAGGGAGGGCTTTCTGTGTCATCGTTGTTAGGACGTTGACTTTTACTGTGAGAATAGCCATTGGAGGGTTTTGAGCAGAGGAGTGATGAGATCTGACTGGCTTTAATAGAGCAGATTCAGGGAGAGAAGTTAGGATGCAGTTGTAAAAATCCACATATGGATGATGGTGACTTAGAATAGGGTGGTGCAGTGGGGAAGTTGAAAAGTATAAAATTCTGGGTATATGCTTACTTGTTTCATGTCTGTGAAATATTTCATTTTTGTGGTGGTATCATTTGTGTAGCCACTCCCCTATTGGACATTTCTAGCTTTCCACAAATTTTTAAATATTTTGATGAAAACTGTCTTCTGTGCATATGCAAGCATAGATCATTACTTACTAGATTATTTCCTTGGAATAAATCCCTAGAAGTTAGATTGCTCGAATGGTGAAATGTATGTATTTTTAATACTTTTGCTGTATATAACCCCTATACTATCCTGAAGGTCAGTTTTCTTCCTACCAGCAATAATCTGAGTGTTTATAATTTTTAATGTATAGTTTTGATATACGGTGTATATTTAACTTTTTACAATACCCAATCCTGACAATAAAAGGTTTTTTTTTTCTGTTTTTATTTTAAAAAGCACTACTTATTTTCAGCTTCTATCTTTTTATAGGTTACAGTTCCTCTGAGTCATCTCATCAATGCCTTCCATTCACCGAAAAACACATCTGTTTCTGTCAGTGCATCAGTTTCTCAAAACCAGCATTGGGATGTAGTGTCTGAGCATGAGGCTCCCAGCAGTGAGGTAATAGTTTTTACCCTGGGTGTGTGAGAAAGTTTTTTTGGTTTAGTACATTGTAAACATGCCTGAAATAACTTTCTATGTTTAGGCATTTGTAACAGGGTGATTTCTATCTTCAGCTTAATCTCTCTTTTACGATTAAAAATGTCCAACTCTGGCTTTGTTGTACATATAGAAATATTGCTTTGTTTTATTTTTAACATTTAATTTATAAAAAATTTCATGTGGCAGTGTATTGGTATTCACTTCCTACGTTACTGCTTGTGTAATATCATTTAGACATTCTTTTGTGTTGCTTCAGTGGTAGCAGGGAACCTACAGTTAACTCCATAATTCCCATAATTTTCAGGAAAGATAGAATAGCAAGAAGTTATCATCTACCGCCTTATAGGAGCTTTCAGTGTAATTGAACAATTAGAATATAGATACCTGAAAGTGAAATGTATAAGCTATGAAACCATACTTTGAGTATTCAGAGAATTATAAAATCATTGTGGCCTAGGATATAGTGAATTCCCAACCTAGGAACCTTGTGTTTACAAGATTCATTAATAAGATAGTTGCTTGTAGCTCAGAATACATTTTTCATAGTAAACATTATAATCTATAGTTAAGTTTCTCAGAAGCCTCTTTAACCATAAATAGCTTATGTTCTTAGTCCTGATATCAGGGGCTATGGCAAAGGACAGTAGAGGAGGAGTTGAAAAAAAAGTTTGCGGGACTTCCCTGGTGGCCCAGTGGTTAAGACTCCACGCTTCCAATGCAGGGGGCCCGGGTTTGATCCCCGTTCGGGGAACTACAATCCCACATGCCACGTGGCACAGCCAAAAAAAAAAGTCTGCTTTTGGTGGGGGTGGGATGGGGGGTGGTTGTGAGGTGAGTCTTGGGATACAGTTTTACTTAGATGAAAAGTTTGTCTTTATGCTTTCCTTTTTTTTTTCTTTTTTAATTGATTATTTATTTTTGGCTGTGTTGGATCTTCGTTGTTGTGCGTGGGCTTTCTCTAGTTGTGGCGAGTGGGGGCTACTCTTCTTTGCGGTGCGCAGGCTTCTCATTGCGGTGGCTTCTCTTGTTACGGAGCACGGGCTCTAGGCGTGCAGTCTTCAGTAGTTGTGGCTCGTGGGCTCAGTAGTTGTGGCTCGCGGGCTCTGGAGCACAGGCTCAGTAGTTGTGGCGCACGGGCTTAGCTGCTCCGCAGCATGTGGGATCTTCCCGGACCAGGGTATGAACCCGTGTCCCCTGCACTAGCAGGCAGATTGTTAACCTCTGTGCCACCAGGGAAGCCCCTATGTTTTCCTTTTATATTATCTGCCAAATTCCTATTGCCTCTGTCTATAGGCAATCCATTCTTGTCTTCTGTTGTGACACCCTTCTTCCAATTTACAGCCCGAGAGCTTTCCTAATGATAAGACTGCATGTATCAAAATTGCTACATGCAGCAATATTATGTTCATTTTAGAAATTTTGGAAAATATTATGTAGGTAGAAGAAATTAAATTAACCTATGATCCTTCTTCTCTTTTTCTCACTTGTACTTTTATATTTTATAATAGTTGGATCATACTGTATATGCTGATTTAGATTTTGCTTGATCATTTAATAGTCTTAGGAACTTTTTATTCCATACATTTTCTGTATTTTTAATGACTTTCAGAGTGTTCATTTTATGATGTTCTCTTGTTGGATATTGTTTCCAATTTTTTGCTGCTCTGAACAACACCATTTGTACTCTCCGTGGTGCTAAATGTTTGACTATTTCATCAAGTGAAATGGCTAGGTCAGTAGTGAAGTACATTTTGGGGGCTTGAAAAGTAGCTAAACTCTAGAAGCCAATGTTGAGCTTAAGACTAATGGTCTCAGATACAGAATTGGTGTCTTATCCTCTGATTTACCTTCATTATTCCTATGGTTTATCATTGATGACTGTTTGTTATTGCTTCACAAACATTTTCATTCTTCTTAAGCATCCTCCCTCATCTCTACTCGCACTTCCTTTGCTCTGAGGTTACATTGCTTTCATCAAGTCTTGCTCATCCAAACACCCACTTCACAGTGCAAGCAAAAAACTTTCAACTTCCTTCAAGCTACTGACTTCTTTTCCTGTTGCTTTCAGACTTCTTGAAAAAGTAGTACTCTGAACTTAACATCTGTTCTTGCTAAACTTTTATTCATACTACATCCCATTGTAGTTTGGCTACTACTTTTTCCATTTTATAGACTTGTTTTGGTATATTTTGTTGACTTCCTTAGCAGTAAGTACAGGCCTTTTTAAAAAATCCACATCTTTTTCATCTTTTCCTTAGCATTTGACCTTGCTGAACATCCACTGCTTTCAAAATACTTTCATAAATTGAGTGATACTACATTGATGGGTTTTTTTTTTCTGTTTCTGTTTTGCTGGGCGTTTTTATCGCCAGCCTTTTACATAGTGTGTGTACATTTATCTGTAATCTAATTTTCATTTTGCATAGTCTCCCAGATTATATATCTTAATGTCTGTATATATTTATATGCTGATAACTCCCAAATCTATCTCCAACTCTAAAGTATCTCTAAAGTTTTAAAGTAATTATCTGGTGGCTTATTAAAATACCCCTCTGGATAGGCTCCAAGGACCTCGAAATTAAGATGTCTAAAACTGAGCTGCTTCCCCAGATTCCAGTGTTTTTTTTTTTTGTTTTTTTTTTTTGCAGTACACAGGCCTCTCACTGTTGTGGCGTCTCCCGTTGCGGAGCACAGGCTCCGGACGCACATGCTCAGCGGCCATGGCTCACGGGCCCAGCCGCTCCGCGGCATGTGAGATCTTCCTGGACCGGGACATGAACACGTGTCCCCTGCGTCGGCAGGCGGACTCTCAACCACTGCGCCACCAGGGAAGCCTGATTCCAGTGTATTTGATCTTAGAGTGGTTTTAGCCCCTCTTCATCAGTCTGGGTCCAACCAAGAGAGAGAGACCACATAGTCATTTGAACAGTGAATGTTTAATATAAAAACTATATAATTTTTTAGTTTAATATTTTAAAAACCCTGGTCTAACAGGGGATTAGAATAACTAGGGATTGGCTAGTAATAAGTAAAGAAAATTCAAATATATAGGACTTGCGGATTCAAGAAGCAGCTAATCCTCCCAGGACTGAGAGCTTCCCAGGAAGAGTTCTCCACCCCTGGGCTGAGGTTCTGAGGTTGTTGGAGAGGGAATGGCCTTGGCTCACTGAATGGCACAGGAGTCACTGGTGCCGTGCCAGCTGAACCTGATGGAAATCTGCCCCCTTGGGTACCAGGAGAAGCTGTTCATGGGGATGTGTGTTACTGGAAAAGCTGCTGGGTACTGCTGGCAACTGTGCACTGTAGGAACCAGGCTTTGGAGAAGCTGCACCAGTGGCAGGAACCACTCCTGGAGAAACCCATGGGTGTTATGTTGCACACAGGAGCCCGCTGAGTGAACACAATAGCCTGAACCAGGAGCAGAAACTCCTCCTACAATGTCTCTCCAGTGCCCTCTACTGACAGCTTAATGTTCTAGCCAACAAAGGAAAAATATTTAAAGGGCCCAGATCCATGAACATGGAGCCAAAAAAAGGATGAGGAGGAGCTAAGAGACAACAAATCAATAACCAGCACATCCATCCTTCTCCCTCACAATCCCTATACTTTACTGGTTTCTTCAAATGTCTGTTGTCTGTGACTTGGTATTTGCATCCTTCTTAGTCAGGGCTCAGTTCGGGTTCATACCATTTTTCTCTTGTTACATCAGCCTTCTGTTCTCCAGCTTATCATCTTTGTCTTCTATTTTCTTCCTATAAAACAAAACTAATGATATTAGCTATAGAATTAAATTCAAACAAGGCTCTTCACAATATGGCCATAGCCCATCTTTCTAGTGCTTTCTTTGGTCACTAAACTTTTTACTGCATCTCAAACATTCCAAGCCCTTTGATGACTTTTTGTTTGCCTTCTTCCCCAAGGTTTCTGCCCCCATCATTTGTGAATTAAGTGTTATTTCAGTGAAGCCTTATCACTTAGGAAATTAGTTGTTGTGTTCTCTTATGACTTTTTAAAAAAATATCTCTGTAATAGCAGTTACCTTATTGTATGATAATTATCATATTCATATGTACCTTATTTCTCTTTATGTTCCTAGGACTTGATACTCATTATGTAAGGGGCATAAATTTCTGTCTTAGTTAAAAATCTGCATTTCCCTTTGTATTATAAATAGACTTTTTGGTTTCCCCATTTTAAAAGATAAAATATCTTTGTAGCTCTTGAATATTGTAGTCCTTCTGATTCCATTATAATAACGTGGTTTATATTCTACAGTTTTTCTTACCTTAAAAAGCACCTTTTAATGGCTTCCCTGGTGGCGCAGTGGTTGAGAGTCCGCCTGCCGATGCAGAGGACACGGGTTCGTGCCCCAGTCCAGGAAGATCCCACATGCCGCAGAGCGGCTGGGCCCGTGAGCCATGGCCTCTGAGCCTGCGTGTCCGGAGGCTGTGCTCTGCAACGGGGGAGGCCACAACAGTGAGAGGCCTGCGTACCGCAAAAAAAAAAAAAAAAAAAAAAAATTCACATTGTTTCAATTGATAAGTACTCTTCAAGTTAAATAGCTTGATAATAATGCTTACTTGATATAAACAACAAGGACCTACTGTATAGCACAGGGAACTGTATTCAATATCTTGTAATAACTTGTAATGGAAAATCTGAAAAAGAATACATATATTTATACGTATATAAGTATATGTATATATAACTGAATCACTGCTGTATACCTGAAACATTGTAAATCAACTATATGTCAGTAAAAAAATAAAAATTAAAAAATAATAATGCTTACTTGGTTGAATTAATCTTTTACAGCCTATACTTAACTTAAGGGACCTTGGATTATCTGAATTAAAAATTGGACAAATTGATCAACTGGTAGACAGTCTACTTCCTGGAATTTGTAAGGACAAAAACGTTTCTTCCCATTGGCATACATCTCATGTATCTGCACAGTCCTTCTTTGAAAATAAATATGGTAAGTTAATATATTTTGTGTCCCAATGAAGGTAAGCCATTACAGTACTATTGATAATTTAATTGATACCACTTATTTTTTTTTTGATACCACTTATTAATACACCTCTGGTTTCCAGTGTTTCATTACATTGTTGATTAGAGGTTTTTTTTGTTTTTTTTTGATTAGAGTTTTGAAATTGTCTCTAGGAAATAGCAATTTTTTGTTTCTCCGTGCTCTTAGCTAAAAGTAACTTTAGCTAGACATATATATTTTTACCTCTTGGTTTGAATTTAATTTCATTGGCAGCTATATTTGTAGATCATATAAAAAAAGATAATCTAAAGGACAAGTGATAGACACTAATATGATGAAGAAATGTGATTAAATTTGCAATGCTTTTAGATAAAAATACAAAAAGCAGAGTCATACATGGGCAAATGAAAGGCAAAACTCATTTTGGTTTTTCTAATATTCGGTAAAATTATTTGTTGTATTTCATGACTTTTTTGTTTGACCGTTAGAAAATTTACTTTTTACAATTTCCCTCCAGGTTGCTTAGATATATTTAGTACTTTACGTTCCTCTTGCTTGTACAGACAACATTCAAGAACTCTTAAACGAATTTGTTCAGATCTTCAGTACTGGCCAGGTATGAAGCAACAGTTGTACTTATTTTGAAAAAAATAATAGATTTATTTAATCTATTCAGATTTGTCTTTTTAAATGATATTAATGATTAGAAACATTTATTTGTAGCTCACAGTAGAACTTGGAGAATATTTGGAATCAACTAGTTTGGGTATATCTCTGTAATTTTTAACCTGGGAAATATAACTAAATTTTGAATGTGAGTGACAAGTGCCACAGTAAAGGAAACTCTAGGGAGCTCACGTATACCTGCTCCAAAACAATTAAGCACATTTGTTTACTTCTCTCATTTTCAAAATCCCATTGCAATGACAAAAAAAGATAAAAATAAGAAAAAAGTCAGGGCAGCAGCAGAGGGGTTTTGTAAATGGACCAGAAATTTGATGACTTTCTGGAACTTGTAAAGTAGACGAAACCCCATTGATATCAAAATCCAATATGTATTCATTCATATTTATTTAATATCAGGCACTACTGATAGGTGTTAGGCGAGAGTGATAGTTATGTAACTGAAAAAGACATACGTTATCAACCCTCATGACGCTTATAGTAGAGTGACATGAAGGAGGTGTGTAATGCTAATTCCAGTAGAACTTAGGAAAAATCCCCAAGTTCTAAGTCAATAATAGTGAGCTCTGGGGTAGCTGATTTAGTGAAACAGTTGAAAGATTGTGAAAAGTGGGCCAGTCACAGAACAGATCTGGCTTGCAACTTTTAGACAAAAGAACACATCTCTAATAAGGTGTCCGTGTGTGTATGTTGAAAGGGGACTCCTGGTTTGAGGGTTGATGCCAAAGAGAGAAACAAGATAGTAACTCAGGTTACTTTGGACTTGAATCATACACTAAAGGTACCTGCTCATTTACCATAAGTCCATGTTTTGTAGTCTAAATATATTTACCACTTTGATAGTTTTGAGGACTGCTGTCTGCAGTCAGTACTGATCATTGTGTTCTTCTTTACAAATACAACTGGTTTGCAAGAATCTCCACGTTTGAGGAAAATTTATAGCATGAAGGAGAGGCACCAGGTTGGGCAAAGAAATCTCTTTTGTAGTTCTTTGAAGAAATGGTTAATGTAGAAGACAGAAGAATACTTAAGAAGGGATGATACACTCAGTTTTAAATATTCAAGGAAGAAAAAAACTGAGCATGTATTAGGGTATGAAAAATATCTTAATAACTTTTTAAAAAGTTAAAACTCAAAGGTCAGATTCTCTGATCATATGATAAAACTGAAGTCAAATAATAGAAAAGATACCTAAAAAAAATTCCTAAATATGTGGAAATGTTTAAAGATACTTTTCTAAGTGTCTTGTGGCTGAAGGGAATTGAAAACAAATTACAGACAATTATTCCTGAACCACAATGAAAATCTGCATATCTAAATCTTTGGGTTGAGGACAAACTGAAGCTGAAAGCATTGTATGAATTTTAGGAAATAAGGAAGATGGGAAATAAATTGATTAAATATTTATTTTTAGAATTTCTTTAAAAGAACGTGAGAAATTAATATGGATAAGACACATTAAATGAATATAATGGCAAGAAATGGTTTTACTTAATTTAATCAAGAATCAATTTAATTTGAAAAGGAAATAGAACAAACAGTCTGATTAAGAAATGATGAGAAAATACAGTGTTAGAAGTGAAAAGTGGGAACTGTCACAGATAATGAAGATTTTTAAATTGTAATGTATATAATTTTATATTGTAAATAAAAATAAGTTGAAACATAATTATTTGAGTTATAAATTACTAGCAAAATTGACCCAGGAAGAGATAAGACAATAACTATAGAATTTGAAAGATAATATCTTTCAAATATAATCTCTTTGCCCCAAAGGCACTGGGCTCAGATGGTTTTATGGCTGTATTCTGTTTTCCAAGGTCAGGAGTCTTCCTGTTATTTAAAACTTTTTTAATAAAGAAAAAGATAGACTAGGCTTCCCTGTTTATTCCATGAGACGACTGATACTAAAATATTAGTACAAAAAGAATACAATAGATTAATTTCACTTAATCTAGATATAGAAATCCTAAGTAAAGTCTAAAAAAGCACATATAGAAATATCCTAAAAATTATGATTAAGGAATACAAGAATGATTTAACATTAGGAAGTATGTTAATTTATCATGTTAATTGATTAGACAAGAAAAGGATTATTATTTGTGTATGATAAAAAGGCATGTGATATATATGCTAATTATTATGCTTCCTAAAAACTTGTAGAATAGATACTTTTAAAATTTCTGAAGTGTATCTGTTAGGTTCTCATTAATATGAGAAACAGGATGTCTAGTATCCTGTTTTTGTTCAGTAATTTGGAGATCCTGAAATATCTGATTAAAAAGAAAAAGGAAGTTTTATATAAGTTAAAAGGGGCAAAATTATAATTAGGTGATACAATTGTTTACCAGAAAATTCAATAAAATCAACTGAAAGGCTGCCCTGGTGCCATAGAAGATAAATGCATAAAAATCAATCGCTTTTTTTTTTTTAATCCTAGCAATAGGTTTTATTTACAGTTCGTTCAAAATCCATGAACTCTTGTACCCTGACAAGAAATATGCAACATGATATATATATACACTCACAGATGTATATATGTATGCATATGAAACCTGACTGAAAGAAATAAAAGAAGAGCTGAGTAAAATAAAGTGAGAGAGTACTGTAGTCCTTTTCAGAAGAACTTAGTGTTCTAACATTGTCAATTTGCACCCAGATTTTCAGTGCAACTCCAATCAAAACTCGAAACATTGGTTAGGAAAATAAAGAGTTGATTTTAAATTTGGGCATAAAAAGGGAATCAGATTATTTTCTTACACTTTAAAAAGTTCCAGAGAACTGAAAACAAGTAGAAGTATTAGATGAAGTCAGTAAACTGCCTTTAAAATCTTAGTGTGAGGATGAGACTCTTTAATCAAAGCACAGTGAACAAACCACTAAAGATTAAAAGACATGGCTTCATTAACCTTACAAATTACTGTATCACTTAACTAAAGACAAAGACATTAAAATAAATGTTTGAAATATACATGACTAAAAGTATATCTTAAAGTATATCCATATTCTGCAAATGAAAATGGAAAAATATGAAAGGTCATGAGTGCTCAGTTCACTAAAGAAATAAAAATAATCAATAAAAATTAAAAATGTGGGTTTCCCTGGTGGCGCAGTGGTTGAGAGTTTGCCTGCCGATGCAGGGGACACGGGTTCGTGCCCCGGTCCGGGAAGGTCCCACATGCCGCGGAGCGGCTGGGCCCGTGAGCCATGGTCGCTGAGCCTGCGCGTCTGGAGCCTGTGTTCCGCAACGGGAGAGGCCACAACAGTGAGAGGCCCGTGTACCGCAAAAAAAAAAAAAAATTAAAAATGTTTTCAAAAATTTTCCTCACTTCTAATCTGAAATGCAAATTGAAACAAAATGTTACTTTCTGCCCATCAGATTTTGTACAAATTAAAAAGATTTTTATTTATATTCAGTGCTGCAAAGGATATGGAGGAAAGGACACTCATATTCACTCGTGGGTGTATAAATTCTTGACAGCATCCTTTTGGAGGACAGTTTCTTAGTGTTAAACAGTTCGGGTCTCACAGTGTCACTTTTAGGAATGTAGTCTGTGTGTGATGAAAGATAACATGTACAGGATTTTTAACTGCAGCATTATTTTTAGCAATAAAAACTAGGAAACAGCTAATGCCCATAGTAGGGAAGTAGATGAGTAAATTGTCATAGCCTGATACATGGGAAAACTGTAAACAGCCATTAAACTGAATGCACTGCCTCATCTGTTCTGGAAAATGTCCATGATAAATTGTTAAGGGAAAGAAGAGAATTGTAAAAGTTATGTACTATTTTTATAGAAAGAGCATGTTTTAATACATAGAAGTATAGTCATGGAATTGTTCAATTGGTTACTTCTGGAACACTTCAGCACACTTGTAATTAAAGTCATTAAAACGGATTGAATCTATAAATCAACTTTACTTTTTCTTGGTAATTTTAAAATGTAAAAACAACAACAAAGAACTGTGTAAAAAAAATGAGATAATAACTAGGATGTATGGGAATAGTGTCAGAGTTTTGATTCTTACGCATTTTCCTTATAAAAATTTAAAATGAGAAGTAAATATTATACTGTTTGATTCAGTTTTCATACAGTCTCGGGGTTTTAAAACTTTAAAATCAAGGACACGACGTCTACAGTCCACTTCTGAAAGATTAGCAGAAACACAACATACAGCACCATCATTCGTGAAGGTAATTAGACCTTTTATGCTGTTGTTTGAAAAAGCAGTAATTTTCAAGTTATTAAAAAGAATGTTCAATATCTGATTTCTATTGCTGACTAATAGATTTTCTTCCATCTTTCCACTGTTACTGACTTCTTAGGTAGCAGTTGTTTTACCACCATACCTAGTACCTCTAACATAGTATCAAAATGATTTCAAAAACTTAGTTATTTGTGTATCTCTGCCCAATAGACTGAAAACATTCAGATGATTGGTTATTTATCTTTACATCTTCAGAACTTATACAGGACCAAGTATATGCAAGGTGCTCAGTAAACATTTAATAAATGAATGAGGTTTTTCCTCCAGCAGAAATAAAGGAATGTGACCTATTCTAAGCCATTAGAACCCTAAGTCAACATGTGACCTGTTAAATGTTTTCAGTGTAGTTAGTGGTCTTATGTAGAGAGTTTCTCTATATTAATTGATGCAAGTATAGGGTCCAGTGTTAGTTTCCTAGCCATTGATTATTTATTGTTGAGTCTTAATTCTTCTCATTGACAATAAAAATGTTTAATTCTAGAATTTTAATGAATTTTTTTGTGAGTGGTTGTTATATTTTGGGGGAGTATTATCTGTATAATCAGCTGATACTGATGTATTGTTTGCGTATTTAGGGGTTTCTTTTGCGGGACAGAGGATCAGACGTTGAGAGTTTGGACAAACTCATGAAAACCAAAAACATACCTGAAGCTCACCAAGATGCATTTAAAACTGGTTTTGCAGAGGGTTTTCTGAAAGCTCAAGCACTGACACAAAAAACCAATGGTGAGTTGATTTGACAGCATCCATATTTAGGGAAGAATATCTGAAAGAAAGTTATAGTCCTGCCTTTAAGTGATTATAATAACTTTTCTAACAATTTCCCAACATTTTATTGGTTATATTTCGTTATATTTGTATCTTAAGCTGTGGTGTAGAAGTGGGAATATCTGCTGGCACTTTTCACTTTCTGAAGTGAGAAGCCAAAGTCAGCGATAGAAGCATGAGTGGCTTCATGAAGTTTTTGGTAACAGGTGCTGAAAGGCAATCATGGAGATTATGCAAAACATGCCAGGCTCCAATATTGCACGTGGTGAAATGTGATTACCGTCAGTAACCTAATATTTGCATTTCATTGATATGTCATTTCTCATTGATATAATTTGATTTAAGGCTTTTTCTTTTTTCTCCAGATTCTCTAAGAAGAACTCGCCTGATTGTCTTTATTCTGCTGGTAGTCGGCATTTATGGACTCTTAAAAAACCCATTTTTATCTGGTAGAGGCTCTTTATATTTATCTGACTTTTTTTTTTGTCTTTTATATACTCATTTCTTTTTCATAGTTGGTCTATCTAAGGCTTAGAGATAAGAAAACATTAATGTTTATAGTTCCAGAGTCTAGGTCTTTCATTCCTAAGTCAAGACTTCTCAGATTGGGTCACTTTAAGATTGTTTTTTGCATTGAAATTAAAGTTCCAAGGATTATGTTAGAGTTGTTTTTTGCATTGAAATTAAAGTTCCAAGGATTATGTTAGAGTGGAAATGTTAGATCTACTTCTGGTAGTGGTTCCCCAGATTTTTAGAATATGATACCTATCCAATAATAAAATTTTAAAAACATGTAGAAGAATTTTATAATAGCAATACAAAGTGTAATAGTCATCTGTTTCAAAGACAATAATAAATTGAATTTTGTAAAAATTAACTTATATGGAAAATTACTTTAAATAGAGTCCCAGATTTTCTCAGTTTGCAAGTCTAAAATGAAGTAATAATGTCAGGTTTAAGCAGTTCCAATTGCTTTTTCAACTGTCATTCAGTTTTTACCCCGTGTTTTCTCCTTTCTTTATGATGGATTACCTTGAGAGAAAAAAACTGATTTACAATTAAGAACATTGGTTGACCTGTATAAGGAATCATTCCCAGAACTTGAATGTAGCCCCAGTTATTTTAAAATTTGTTAGTGACATCAAAACTGAGATGAGGTTTTAACATCTAGGAATAGCCTTTTTATATCTAGATCTGCCTTCTCTTGTCTCCGTTTTTTCAAAAAAAAACCAATATAGGGATGATAGGTGATATCAGCAGGGTGGTGGAGGGGTGGGATGAGCTCTGATGATTATTCCTTTGTGTTTCTTAATTATGTACAATGGAGTTTGAGAACCATTGGTTTAAATTTTTATTATTCGATATAAGAAGAGGAAAATTCTTAGTTTTAATTGGAAAGGCAAAGGTGTCATTTTATTATGAATCATTTATTCCTTGAATACCATCTCAAAATCCAGAAGACCTAATATCTACTCCTCACACTGATTAAATATATGTGAAGTTAGATATTTAATTTTTCTGGGCTTTCTTGCATCTGAAAAATAAGGTAGTTAGTATTTTATGAATCTATCAAATATGTAAACATTTGTTTATGTCCCTTTAGTCCGCTTCCGGACAACAACAGGGCTTGATTCTGCCGTAGATCCTGTGCAGATGAAAAATGTTACCTTTGAACATGTTAAAGGAGTAAGTTAAAAAGTTTACCTTGATCTCCTCAAACATTATCTTAATTGTATTTTATTATTCTAAAGGTTGAAATAATAGAAAATATATATATTGGTTTCTGCCCCATGTTCCTGGCACAGACGTCCTAAAACCCTTGTCATTTCCAAAGTGCTAAGAGCACCAGGAGCATCTTTTGTTTTACTGTTTGGTCTTTGACCCCGGTTCCTGACACAGGGCTTCTGAGTCCCTTAGAATTTCCTGGGTGATAGCAGTGTCCTTTGTTCTTTTTTTTTTCCGCCTTGGCCACACTGCACGCAGCTTGCCAGATCTTATTTTCCCAACCAGGGATTGAACCCGGGCCCACGGCAGTGAAAACTTGGAGTCCTAACCACTGGACCACCAGGGAATTCCTGCAGTGTCTTTTGTTCAAATGAGGTGGTTCTGGGTGGGTGCCTGGTTGGGGGCCAGTCACCAGAAGGACCCAGCCATGATTAGGGCCTTAGAACTTTCACCTCCACTCTGTTCTCCAGAGAGGGGAGAGGGGCTGGAAAGGGAGTTAATAATTGATCATGTCTATGTGAGGAAACTCCCATAAAAATCCCAACAGATCCGGGTTCAGGGAGCTTTCAGTTGGTGAACACATGGAGGTGTGAGGACAGTAGCGTTTTCAGAGAGGACGTGGAGGGGCCTGTGCCTCTTCCTATGTCCCTTGCCCTACCTGTCTCTTCCTTCTGGCTGTTCTGAGTTATATCCTTTCATAATAAACCAGTAGTCTAGCACCTAAACTGGTTTCCTGAGTTCTCTGAGCTGCTCTAGCAAATTAATCAAACACAAGGAGGGGTTGTGGGAACCTCCAATTTATAGCCAATTGGTAGAAGCACAGAGACAACCTAGATTTGGGATTGGCATCTGAGGTGTGTGTGTGTGGTGCTAAGTCTTGTGGGACTTTGGCCCAAAGATGTGTTTCACATTCACCCCTTCCCAGGTACTTTCTTTTTAACGCTGCCCAATGTACTTGAGCTTTCTCACTGAGAGTTATTTAAAGTTGTATAATGTGAGGTTGCAGGTTGGCTGCAAATATGTTATTACGCCAGTGTAATTTAAAATAAATAAATATGTGAAAGTACACATGCAAAGGCATTTTTAATTTACATTGGTAGCCAACATTTTTAAATTGAAGTTTCACCCACAAAAAGATTTCCGGATTGTTTGTTCATTTGTTTTTTGAACATTGAAGCCTGGAGTGCTAGGCCTGTATTCTTTGGCAGAGCCATGTTGTGGTTGTCTTTAAAGGGACTGTTGCTTTCCAGTTCAGCACATTGCCACCACTATTGTTTTACATCTGGCCTTCTGCACTCATTGATTGATACCGTTTTGCCACTAGGAATTTGCATTTGTGACTTCTGGTTATATGCTGACTAGGAAAATGGCTCACCATTTCTGATAGGCATCTTAATCTTATATCAGAGTTTTAAAGTTGAACTCGTTTTCTGATTGCCATTTTTGTTGGCTGGATTGGGCTTTATTTTTGCTAGGGATCTCAATTCTGCAATATTTTATATTTTGGAGATTAAATCTCTTAAATTTTTTTTACCACAGCCATTTATAAAACAATATTAGTACACTATAGCTTAATTTTTGTCACTGTCCTTTGGCATTTGTCAGGAACTAAGTCGTTTATAATCTAGTAGTAGTTCCTTGTAATGAAAATGATCTCATAACTAATCACAAATTAATGTTATAACTTAAACACAGACTCCCTTATCATTAATATATAGTAAGTCCACATAATTTGCCATTGAAGCTTATAACCAGGTCCAAAACAGTTTTGGATTTGAAACTTAATAGGTGACTCTTTATATTAAATGCCACTGACACATTTAACGAGAATTTTGAATATAACAGTTCTTTTTAACCAAAGGAAGCAGTTAAAAAGGGTTTTTGTTGGGATATATAAGGAGACTTCATATAACTGGCATTGAGGGTCGGGAGAAAACTCTGAGTATTTCTAAAGGGGCCTTTTTGTATACTTTCACTGAAACAAAAAGCCAAGTTAATTTAATCTGCAGTTAAATTTATGATATTCAAAGAGGGTATCTTGGTAATATAATAATTACTTGGTAAATTGTATCACTTTAGGTGGAGGAAGCTAAACAAGAATTACAAGAAGTTGTTGAATTCTTGAAAAATCCACAAAAATTTACTGTTCTTGGAGGTAAACTTCCGAAAGGTAAGATATCTTCCCTTTCACATAACTTGACAAAATACTGTAATATGTCACTAATTTAACTTTTATCAGATTTGATTAAAGTTTAATTCTTAATTGCTATTTTACAAATAAGTGCTCATTCTGAACATACTGTTCTGTAATCTTTTTTTTTGGTAATTTAAAATTTTGTTTTAATTTCAAACTTTAAGTAAATTGCAACAATAAATAGTACAAAGAACTCCCTCCAGGGCTTCCCTGGTGGCGCAGTGGTTGAGGGTCCTCCTGCCGATGCAGGGGACATGGGTTCGTGCCCCGGTCCGGAAGGATCCCACATGCCGCTCCGGCTGGGCCTGTGAGCCATGGCCGCTGAGCCTGCGTGTCCGGAGCCTGTGCTCCGCGGCAGGAGAGGCCACGGCAGTGAGAGGCCCGCATACCGGAAAAAAAAAAAAAAACAACTCCCTCCATACTTTTAACTCATGAGACTCAAAATTTTTTTAACATTTTGTTCTATTTGCTCATTCCTTTCTTTACATAACGTGTAATTTTTAAACCATTTGCAAGTGAATTATAGATGTCATGCTCCTTTGCCCCTAAATACCTCATTGTGTATTTCCTAAGAATTACGGATATTCTCTTTACACCATTTCAGTACAGTTATTAAAATCAGGAAATTTAACATAGATCCAAAACTATTAATCTAATTCAAAGTCATATTCAAATTTCAGCATTTGTCCCAATATGTAAACAGTATTTAAATGATATAGGAGAATTAGTTAAGGAGCAGATCCTGAAGTGAATCATTAGTAGAGACAAATACGTTTTGGCTATGTTTCAAAATATTGGTCATTGATGTGCCTTCAACTGCAAAGCTATATAAATTAATAATTATTTGTTGTAAGTTCATGTCAGGCTTTGTTTCTGATTTTTAATTTGAACCGTTCTTGTTTATTTTTTCTTTTAGGAATTCTTTTAGTTGGACCACCGGGGACAGGGAAGACACTTCTTGCCCGAGCTGTGGCCGGAGAAGCTGATGTTCCTTTTTATTATGCTTCTGGATCAGAATTTGATGAGATGTTTGTGGGTGTGGGAGCCAGCCGTATAAGAAATCTTTTTAGTAGGTTTTAACGTATCTTTCATACAGTACTAATTTCTCTTAACTTTAGAGGAAGAGTGTTTCTTACCCTTTCTTTGCTACCTGTTTCTGATTGATATAGTTGGCTGAAATTGTAGGGTTCCGGTTTCGGATAACTTAGTGTGTGAGCTAAAATAGAACTGTACTTTTTTCCCCCAATTAGTCGGAAGAGCTAGTGGAAGTGCTAGATTGCTGGGTGAGCCTGGGGGCCTCACCAGTTTATTGAAAAAGCTGTTACTTTTATTAGAAACAAAAAATGCTTCTCAAGATGTTGGCAACAAGTCATAGTATAGACATCTGTTTCAAACAGTGTACTTCTCCCTTCAATTATAATTTATATTCCAGTTGGAGGAGGAATACCTCCTTAGCTATGGGAAGTAGAAGTATTTGAGGGACTGTGTAAGCTGGTCTCCTTGTACACAAACCATGCATTTCCTCCCCAAAGTATCATATTCAGAAAGCCAAAGATCACAGATACATTTAGGGATCCCATAGTAGTCACAGAGCCAAAATGACATATCACTCCTTGTTGATTACAAGGCAGAAGTTCCTGGACAATATTGTGACCAGTAGCTGTTTTAATATCTGTAAGAGCTTTAGCCCAGGCTGAAGTGCTCACCAACCACAAAAAAGTGGCAACAAGAGTAACAACAAAGTCAACCATGGGAAGTTTTCGACTATCACGATACACGTTCGTGTAACCAACATAGAGCAGCGATGCAGTACAGGAAGACAAAGACTGCAAAAGTAACATAGAATTGTGCAGAAGAAGAGTAATCTCCAATAAGGACATGATTTTTCCAATCTACATCACACATATTTACACCTTGATGTGCCTGAAATGATGCTTCATTCAACCTGAATTGATAACCCAAAGTAGCTGTGATCGTTTTATTGTCAGAAACTTTAGGACGACAAGCCACTTGAATTTCTGTTTTGCCCTTAAAACCTCCACAGGTGGCAAAAGCAAAGATAGAAGCAATCCACTCGAGGACCTTGATGAAGCCGAGCGGCTTCTTGAGCGGGTTGAGGTTGAGCTGGAAGCAGGACATCCTCTGAGGGAAGGAGGGAGAGAGAGTCAGGACGGTGGGGCGGAGGAGGAGGGGGACCGAAGAGACAGAGCCGCCTGGCCGTGAGAAAGGGCAAGCGGGGCGGGCCTATCAATTCTTTAGTATGTATTTAAAAAGTATTTGCCTCAAATCTGATTGTATATGGTTTGTACAACTAGGAAGAATGAATACTCAATGGTATAATTTTTTTTTTCTTCTGAGGCTACTGTTCTTAAATCAGTTTAAGAAGGACCTCCTTTTATGTATTTTCTCCCTACTGAATGTCTTTTCTTGGCTTTTTAACTGTCTTACAAGTTGTTAAATATTTATGCAATTTTATTTTAAAAGTGTTGATTTTATTAAACTTATTTGAATCTTTTCTGTCTTCTTAGGGGAAGCAAAAGCAAATGCCCCGTGTGTTATATTTATTGATGAATTAGATTCTGTTGGTGGGAAGCGAATTGAATCTCCAATGCATCCATATTCACGGCAGACCATAAATCAACTTCTTGCTGAAATGGATGGGTAATTGAATCTTCCTGTCTTTAGAATTTGGTGATATATTTGGTAGCATACCAGAGATAGGAAAAATTTTGTTTATAGGCAACAGAGTAGTCCCTCGTGCAAGAAGTAATGACAAGCTATTTTGACTATTGTATTGTTTTTACTAATGGGATCATTGATAATTGTTATATCAACTTTTCTTAAATTAAAAAATAGATTTTTCATTTACTGTAGCATGACAGGAAAGCAGTGATTCCAGCTGAAAGTAGTAGTCTCTTTGGAGATGTAAAGGGAGAATACCCTTATCCCTGCACTGTTTGTGACTAGCTTTGAGTGTTGCTGTAGATCAAAAAAATGTTTCTTAAAGTCATATAAGACATTCTGGAAGTCTAGGAGCAAATAATTTGAATTGGTAAACTTGAAAATAATTTTTCAAAAATCAGTCAGAGACTCAAGCTTTTTGTGTCAGGTCATCTCTTCCTAACTAGAAAAATTATTACGAAGGTATGTAACCACAGATGATTTGGTGATTTATTATTAACACTTTTATTGAAGTGCACTGGCATTTTAAAAAACAATTAGAGATGCCGTATCATTTTGGGCTTTAAAAAGATCAATCCCTTTTCTTTGCTGTCAGTAAGATTAATGATAAACAGTTTTGCATAGAACATTTCTACATGTGTGCTGTTTTAATTTTCAATGAAAAGGTCCTTTTTTTTTTTAATAGTTTTAAACCCAACGAAGGAGTTATCATCATAGGAGCCACGAACTTCCCAGAGGCATTAGATAAGTAAGTATTAAAATTTTTGTGATATATTCTAGAATAGTGATGAACTTTAAAAACATTGTGCTAAGTGAAGGAAACCCATCACAAAACATCACATATTATATGATTGCTTTTATATGAAATGTCTAGAATAAGCAGATCCATAGCAACAGAAAGTAATTTAGTGGTTGCCAGAGGTTAGGGAAAATGGGGAATAACTGCCAATAGATTCGGGGTTTCTTTCAGCTGGAGGAGAGGGGGAGGGGGTAAAAATTCTCTAAAATTAGATTGTGGTGATGGTTGGGCAACTCTGAATATATTAAAAACCACTGGGTTACACTACCAAACGTAAAATAGATAGCTAGTGGTCAGCAGCGGCGCAGCACAGGGAGATCAGCTCGGTACTTTGTGACCACCTAGAGGGGTGGGATAGGGAGGGTGGGAGGGAGGCGCAAGAGGGAGGGGATATGGGGATATATGTATATGTATAGCTGATTCAATTTGTTACACAGCAGAAACTAACACACCATTGTAAAGCAAATTTGTACTCCAATAATGATGTTAAAAAGAAAACTACACTGGGTTTTCGACTTCAAATTCTATGATATGAAAATTGTATCTCAGTAAAGCTGCTAAAAGAGTCTTCTCACAACTTAAACATCACAAAGCTTTTGGGTGGGGGGTGGAGAGGATTTTTAGAATAAAATTTACTATAGTTTAAAATTTTTATTGGTTTTATTATATAGAAGTTATTCCTACTTTCATTTGATCTAATAGTTAGTTCTTGCCTAAGACTCTAGTTTAACATTTTGTACTTAATAGCAGTAAGATGGATGTGTAGCGCTCATAATAGATTGCTGTAGAATTATTTGTTCCTTGACTGGCTGACTTGCATGTCTTTGTCTCTGACGGGTTGTATGCTATCTAGATGCACACATTTAACTATATGAACCTTTGTTCTGCCTTCCGGTTATTGAAACTGTTATTTGAGCCACGTTTTATAAGGAACTAATCTGAATATTTATGTTCAAAATAGATATTCGTTGCCATTGTCTTTCCATCTTCTCTTGAGGATGTCATTCCTCTTTAACTTGACCTTCAGCACAGTCAGCTTATTAATTTATATTTTCTTTTTGTATTCTTCCTTTAGCGCCTTAATACGTCCTGGTCGTTTTGACATGCAGGTTACAGTTCCCAGGCCAGATGTGAAAGGTCGAACAGAAATCTTGAAGTGGTATCTCAATAAAATAAAGTTTGATCAGTGTAAGTCTTAATTCGATGATACAGACATTATCTCCATAAAATGGTAATATATCAATCCACCCTGTTTGTGGTCCTTACTCAGGATGTCTTAAAAGACAAATTCCTTTAAATGTCTATTTTTCTCTCCTCTTGTTTGTCCATAAAGTCCATTTCTCAATTAATGTGTATCCAGAGATTCTGTCATTTTGAATCCCGATTCTAAACAAAGTTTTCTTTGAGTACTTAGATAATACTTGATGAATCTATGTATAAATGTTTTTTTAGATGAATGTAAAATATAAAATAATATAAAAGCACCTGTATATTATGAGCATAGTACCGTATGATATAGTCACTTTGGGGCCAAAAGAGGGGAAGCAAACTATAAAACAAAACACATGGAAATATTATAGAACCACCTGAGTAATAAAAGCAGCTATTAAAGCTGCAGTATTTTCAAAGATATCTGAATCAATTCATAAAACCAAATATGTTTCCGATAATAAGGGGGGCTATTATGTCCAAAGTTATTCCAAGATGAAATTCTGAAAACAAAACGTTGTCTATGAATGTGCTTTTTCAGTTTGTGGTTAGGCCATAATTAAAGGTTTGTAAATCGTTATCTGGCAACTCTACCTTTCTTTGTTTATCACAAAGTTATTTAAATGTAAGAACTTTTGTCATTTGTCCCAATGACAATTTTAATGGTGTGTTTAATAGCAGTTTTGGCTTTTTCCCCTTAGAATTTAGTGAAGTAAGCTTTTGTAAAATTACAGTTCATGATGGCTATCTTCTTTCTTTTGCAATGTGAGTTCTTTATGAAGAGCTTTTTATTAGCTCTTCTGAAATTTTAATATTGTGTCCTGTCTGCATATAGCTGTTGATCCAGAAATCATAGCTCGAGGTACTGTTGGCTTTTCTGGAGCAGAGTTGGAGAATCTTGTGAACCAAGCTGCTTTAAAGGCAGCTGTTGATGGAAAAGAAATGGTTACGATGAAGGAACTAGAGTTTTCCAAAGATAAAATCCTAATGGGTAGGTTTTCTTTTTTTCTTCCTTTTTTTCCCCTATCTTATACTGTTCATTATGTTAGAGGAAAAATTCTTTTTTTTTAAATTGCCACTTGGTAATTTTTGGTTTGGTGGTACTTCACTCTATTTATTTATTTATTTATTTATTTATTTATTGGCTGCATTGGGTCTTTGTTGCCGCATGCGGGCTTTCTCTAGTTGCGGCGAGCGGGGGCTACTCTTCATTGCGGTGCACAGGCTTCTCATTGCGGTGGCTTCTCTTCTTGTGGAACATGGGCTCTAGGAGCGTGGGCTTCAGTAGTTGTGGCTCACGGGCTCTAGAACTCAGGCTCAGTAGCTGTGGCACACGGGCTTAGTTGCTCCGCAGCATGTGGAGTCTTCCTGGACCAGAGCACGAACCCACGTCCCCTGCATTGGCAGGTGGATTCTTAACCACTGTGCCACCAGGGAAGTCCGAGAAAAAAACTCTTAATTTTGAGAGAAAGTTTATAAAAAATAAAGGTATAGAAACATACAAATACATACTCTAACAGAGCAACACAGTTTGGCCTCTTACAGAACAAATATATTGTAACTTATATTACACTCTTTGAGGGGCATGAGTGCCCATGTCTTTCCTCTTGTCTGATATTGCTGATAAAAGAATAGTTAATTTTACTGTTTTTCAGTATTTAATTTTTATTTTAAATCTTGAATTGCCTTCAAAACAGGTTAGTTATGACATTCCTGTTAAATTAGAAGTTTATTTTCTAGAAATAGAATTAAGCTTTTCCTTTTGATATAAGGATTGAGATGATAGTTTTTACAGTTTGGTTTTCAGTTGACAAATTATGGTTTACATGTGTTGTAGAGTGGAGTCAACTCATTTTTTAAACTTTCACACTTTTAAAATATTTATTAATGATATTAAATCATATTACTCTAAGAATGACTTTGAGGCAAAGGAGCTTCATTCATTTAAATATACCTTCCTAATGGAGTATTTTACTTAATTAAATTTTTATTCTTAGGGCCTGAGCGTAGAAGTGTGGAAATTGATAACAAAAACAAAACGATCACAGCGTATCATGAATCTGGTCATGCTATTATTGCATACTACACTAAAGATGCTATGCCTATCAACAAAGCTACAATCATGCCACGAGGGCCAACACTTGGACATGTGAGTATCTTTAGTTTTTCTTTTCTTTCAGATAGTGCTCCCCAGGAGCTTATATAGGAAATTGCTGATGAAAACATTTCAAAAGAAAATTCAGCTACTTCCTAGGTGTGTTGATACTTTCTTCTTTAACTTCCTCAACTGTCTTGAAATCAGACATACTTGTGAAATTTATCTGCTAATAAAGGATATCCTTAATATTTCAGATAATATATTTACATTATGAAATGTAATTCAGGAATGACAGCAAAATATAATTCTTAAATATGTAGTTGTTCTTTTCCCCTCAAAAGAAATTATGTATCATAGTGACTGGTTCAATAGTTTTTCTGAGTTTTTTCTCATTGAGTAGAAGTTTCATTTTCATATCTAATTATAGACATTTTATTTTTATTTATTTAATTTTATTTTCGGCTGCGATGGGTCTTCTTTGCTGCATGCGGGCTTTCTCTTGTTGAAGCGAGAGGGGGCTGCTCTTCATTGCAGTGCGTGGGCTTCTCATTGCAGTGGCTTCTCTTGTTGCAGAGCACAGGCTCTAGGCGCGCGGGCTTCAGTAGTTGTGGTACATGGGCTCAGTGATTGTGGCTTGCAGGCTCTAGGGCGCGGGCCCAGTAGTTGTGGCGCACAGGCTGAGTTGCTCTGCAGCATGTGGGATCTTCCCAGACCAGGGCTCGAACCATGTCCCCTGCATTGGCAGGCAAATTCTTAACCACTGCACCACCAGGGACGTCCCTATAGACGTTTTAAACATTTTTGTGCAACGAGGGACAAACAGTTGTATTGCAGCATTAACTACTTATTATTTATAAACTGCACTTTTGCTTTCCTCATTTTATACATAGCTGGTTTGGTCATCAATCACCATGACCATCTCTATTAAATGCCGCTGAGCTTTCAGCATCATGGTATTAAGTAAGGTCATGGGAGACAAATGATAATTCAGGTTAATTAATGTAAGTGTTTCAAAACTGTGTCTGAATTTTTTCTTTGTTTTTCAATTGTCTAGGTGTCCCTGTTGCCTGAGAATGATCGATGGAACGAAACTAGAGCTCAGCTTCTTGCTCAGATGGATGTCAGTATGGGAGGAAGAGTGGCAGAGGAACTTATATTTGGAACTGATCATATTACAACAGGTTGGCTGTAAAGAATAGCTTTGGTTCAAATTGTGTTTGTTGGTTTAAAGATTTTTTTTTAACTTGAGTTTTATGTATATTTTAAAATTTTAGGTGCTTCCAGTGATTTTGATAATGCAACCAAAATAGCAAAGCAGATGGTCACCAAATTTGGAATGAGTGAAAAGGTAATGGCTAATTTTAATCCTTCCTCATGTATCAAATGTTGATGTGCCAAGTGTCTCTTTGTGAGATAGGGCTCTCATTATAAGTTGATAGATTTTCCCCTATCTCATTCCAGATGGATTTAACAAAGCTTACTCTAAACTAAATGTCATTTTCTGAGAAATGTAACATACTCTTTCCATTCTAGTTGCTCAAACAGTAAGAGTTATTACTTCATGAATTAACCAAATGATAATATAAATTCTTTAGCTTTTTTTATTCATATGACATCGAAGACCTACTTGTTGAGCTTGCTTACTTTGCCCTTTCCACATACTTCACGTTCCTACATTATCACTGTGGCTCCATAAAGCAATTCCAGTACTCTGTGAAGTGTGGATTTCTGGACCAGAATAGCTGCTAAGGTTTTCTAAGAAGGTACTCAGAACAATACTTAGGATTTAAAATTTTCTCTCTTGCTCACACTTTTTAGTATTATACTTGCAGAAGAATAATGAAGTTTTTTTGCCCTCAAGGGCATTTTTATATTGTATTTTTTCCTTGCCCCCATGATATTTATTTTCTTATGTATAGGATAGTACTTCCTCTGTTACATACATTAGTGTTGGAGGTTTTTCTGTTGGATTTCTTTCTTTTCATTGATTTTAGCTTGGAGTTATGACCTACAGTGATACAGGGAAACTGAGTCCAGAAACTCAATCTGCTATTGAACAGGAAATCAGAATCCTTCTGAGGGTAATGATCTTTTTTTTTTTAATGTTTATCTATTTAGTCAAAATGTGCCTAAATATTTGGGTGCTTGCAAAAAACCTAAAGTTCCTCTGTTTTATAAAGTTAATAGGTGCACCGTTGCTGCCGTGATTAAATATGTCATAGACTGGATCTTTGACATAGACTGGAACCCCTGATCATAGACTGGATCTTTATTTTATTCTGGCCATAGGCTAAGAACTATATATATATATATATATATATATATATATATATATATATATGTATATATATTTTTAATAAATTTATTTATTTTTATTTTTGGCTGCATTGGGTCTTTGTTGCTGCACTTGGGCTTTCTCTAGTTGCAGTGAACAGGGGCTGCTCTTCATTGTGGTGGCTTCTCTTGTTGCTGAGCCCGGGCTCTAGGGCGCGGGCTTCAGTGGCTGTGGTGCGGGGCTTCAATGGTTGTGGCGCATGGGCTTAGTTGCTCCGTGGCATGTGGGACCTTCCTGGACCAGGGATTGAACCCACGTCCCCTGCATTGGCAGGCGGATTCTTAACCACTGTGCCACTAGGGAAGCCCAGAACAATTTACATTGTGATTTAAATATTCAGTTCTACTTTAGCTGATATATTTCTAATATTTTATATATTTTCTTTAATTTGATTATTTTACTTGGACATGGTTATGTTCAAAATGTCTAGTAATTGTATTGTGCTTATGTGACCTGTGTTTCTTGGTGTTGGTAAATTCATTTTTACATTTTCCACCCAATTTTATAAGGACAAAAATATAATTCACTAGTAAAATATTGGCATAAACATTATACAGGCAAATATGACACTGCCAAAAATGAACTGTTATTACTGCCATTATTCATAAGCTGATAAACTTAATTCAGACTCACCTTTGGAAAGAGAGTTGAAGGATTTAAGTGAAAAGTTCAAGGTGGGTTGCAAAAAAAAAAAAAATCAAATGTATGGAAGTCAGGGATCACCTTTAATGATACTGTATTACAGTATTGAGAGGTAAGTGTTTTACCAAGTAAAAGAATGGAAATTATATCTTTTCTGGCCATTCTAGATTGAATAAATTGGTGAAATCTCAAGAGGCAAAAGGAGCAAACTCCCTTTCCTTTTAGCACGTATTTTGAAAAGAGAAATAGATTTCTGTGTTCACAGACCTTATTTAGAAAGCAGATGAGTACAATGTATACTTTATTTCTTAAGTAGCTTTTTGTTTAAGTAGTCCTCAGTTATCTCTATGATAGATTTTGAGGTTAAAAATATAACATTTGAAAGTATGAAAGAGTTATCTTTAGGGAACCAAGCTTTTAAATGCTTTTATCTTTCATAAATAGAAGTCAATAGATTTTATAGTTTTTTAGGGTACATAAAGGCTTTTTATCTCATTTAGGGTTTTTGCTTCTCCTAAGGTTTCTGCCTCTTACATATCTGCTTTGTATTTCAGGATTCGTATGAGCGAGCAAAACATATCTTGAAGACTCATGCAAAAGAGCACAAAAATCTAGCAGAAGCTTTATTGACCTATGAGACTTTGGATGCCAAAGAGATTCAGATTGTTCTTGAGGGGAAGAAATTGGATGTGAGATGATAGCTCTTGATGCATTGTTGGTTTTATTGCAAGACCATAAGTAGCACTGCAGTAGTCGTATTTTGCAACACTTTTCTCCCATTCTTGGTATCACTCAAGGGTGTGAAACACTTTGTCAGTCTTTTGTCACATTTGTCTAATTTTGATTATTCTCATGATGGACACCTACTGCAAATAGCAATTTATTAAAGAAAATAAAGAACTATCAGGATTGAAAACAGCTTGTTTGAGAAATGTCAATCAGTTATTAAGTTGAAAATAAGTAATGATTTTATGGTTGGTTACAGTGCTAGATGTGAATAGAAATTGTGCCTTTAGCTCTTGGGAAGTATTTTTACTTAGGAAAATAAAATTCTTGAAGGATTGTCTTTATTTCTAGATAGTACCACTTATCTTTGATAAAGAAATGATGCTATTTGGCTATTGGTAAATCATATTTCTACATACATCAGTGGAAACTTCATTAAGATGCACTTAATTATGATCTAGATTGACCATATATAAAGTGTTTTTTTAAAAATCTAAGAGTAGAGAACTGTGAACCTACAGATACAATTGGAATTTAAATGATTATTATAAGCTTTTTAAAATGCAGCTTGCATTTTCATGGTCTTTTTTTTTTTAACATTACTATCACTCTGAAAATGAAGTTTATTTCAGAGCAGCAGTATTTTGTTAAATAAACAAGTAACACACCTCAAATTATGAATAACTATGTAATTATGCTTTGCATTAAAACCAAAATAAAACCAAAAACCCAGTCCCGTTCAGAGTGAACTTTTGAATTATGCTGTGTTAGAAATGGAAAGTTGTGTTTATTTTTCAGTCAGATTTTGTGAATATGAATGTGTTACAGAATTTACAGATGACTTTATTTAACTCAGTAGAAAAATTATTTTAGAGCACATTGTATTGGTTTTACAACCATATTATATTCTTGAAGTGATTTTATTAAAATTACCTACAGTTTTCTAGTAACTTTTAAGCTGTATATGGTCTTCGTTGAGGTTGGTAGAGGGAGCTTGCTACATGATATTCTTGCCCTTTTATTTGGGTAATTTAAAATTTTGATGTACTTTCAAACTTAGAGAAACATTACCAGAATAATACAAGGAATTCCCATATACCCTTGATTCAGATATACCAGTTATTTTCATTTGCCCATTCTTTATTACCCCTGCTTCCTTTCTCCCTTTCTCCTCTCTTCCCTCCCTCCCTCCTTCCCTCCGCTTCTCTCTGTGTTTATATATATATGAGTATACATGTCTTTGCGTGGACACACGTTTTCATTTGTCTTGGTAGACTTCTAGAAATTGCTGTGTGATGTGGCGAGTTTCTGTTTAACTTTTTAAGAACCTGATGAACTGTTTTGAAAGTAACTATATAATTTTATGTTCCAACTACCAGTGTATGAAGGTTCCCGTTTCTCCATATCTTGTACAGTGTTTCTTATAGTCTTGTCTTTTTGACAAAGCCAATCTAGTGGGTATGAAGTAGAATCTCATTGTGGATTTAATTTACATTTCCCTAGGACTAGTGATTTTGAACATCCTCTGCTAGGCTTTTGGTCATTTGTATATCGTCTTTGGAGAAATGTCTGTTGAAATCCTCCCTTCCCTCTTTGGGTTGTTGTCTTCTGTGTTGTAAGAGATCATATATTCTAAAGACAAATCCTTTATCATATGGATCTTGTTTTTTTTTTAATCCAGTCTGAAACTCCCTGTTGTTTGAGTAGGATGTTTAGTTCATTCATATTTAATATTTATGTAGTTGCTTTTACATCTGCCATTTGCTATTTGTTTTCTGTTTTTCTCATATCTAAAGAGATCCCTGTGTTCCTCTTCTTTTTTTTTGGCTGCATAGCATGGCTTGTGGGATCTTAGTTCCCCAACAGGAATTGAACCTGGGCCCTTGGCAGTGAGAGAACGGAGTCCTAACCACTGGACTAACAGGAAATTCCCTGTTCCTCCTATTGTGAGTTGTCTTAGCAGTTGCTCTAGGGATGACAGTATGCATTTATCACTCTTAATCACAGGCTCCTTCAAAATAATACAAGTTTAATTCTGTCAAAATGTAGTAAATTTGTTCCAGTATATCTCCTTTTCTTTCCTTTGTGCTATTGTTGTCATGTTACATCTGTACGTGTTACAACAACTTAATACAATGATTAACTACTGGTTTATATAATCTTAAATCTTCTGTCTTTATCTGGGGATGTCTTTATTTTGCCTTTGTTTTTTAAGAATATTTTTGCTGGATATAGAATACATGATTAACAGTTTATTCTTTTTTTTTTTTTTTTTTCGCGGTACATGGGCCTCTCACTGTTGTGGCCTCTCCTGTTGCGGAGCACAGGCTCCGGACGCACAGGCTCAGTAGCCATGGCTCACAGGCCTAGCCACTCCGCAGCATGTGGGATCTTCCCGGACCAGGACACGAACCTGTGTCCCCTGCATCGGCAGGCGGACTCTCAACCACTGCGCCACCAGGGAAGTCCAACAGTTTATTCTTTAATCACTTTGAATGTGTCGTCCCACAGCCTCTGACTTCCATTATTTTTGGTGAAAAGTCAGCTGTTAATGGTAATTTTGGTCTCCTTTTCCGATAGGTTGTTTTTCACTTGCTGCTTTCAAGAATTTTTTCTTAGCCTTGTCTTTTAACAGTTTGACGATGATGTTTATAAATGTGGACATCCTTGAGTTTTTCCTACTTGGGATTCGTTGAACTTCTTGGATCTGTAGATTAATGTTTTTCATCAGATTTGAGACGTTTTTGGCAATTATTTCTTCAAATATATTTATTTGCCCTTTCTCTCTTCTTCTGGGATTCTCCTTTCACATATGTTGATCTGGTTTCTGAGGCTTTGTTCATTTTTTTCATTGCTTTTCTCCCTCTCCTCTTCAGATTGAATACTTTCTGTTGATTCAGCTTCAAGTTCACTGATTCTTTCTTCTTCTTTCAACTGAATTTTTCATTTCATATATTATATTCTTCAGCTCCAAGTTTCTATCTGGTTCTTTCATATACCTTGTATCTCTTTACTGAGATTCTTCATACATTGCATCATTTTCATCATAGCTCTCATTAATTTTTTAAACATGAATTCCATTAGTTCTTTGAACATGTTCATAATAGCTGCTTTTAAGTCTTTGCTCATTCTAACATCTGGAGATACTCAGTTCCTATTGAATGCTTTTCTTCCTCAGTAAGGGTACACTTTCTTCTTTCTTTGCTTTGTAATCTTGTTGAATTTCAGATAATGTAGCAATTACTAATTCTGAATTTTTCCCCAGAGGGTTGTTCTTGTTTTATTTAGTAACTTGCCACCAGTAAATTTGTGAAATCTGTCTCCACAGCAGTGTGCAGTCACCAATGTCTCTACTCATTTTTTAAAATAATAAATCTTGCTTCCTAAGCGTTGCTGCTGGATTGCATAGCTTAGCTTATAGCCAAAGATTGGACAGAGGTTGTGTTCAAACCCCATCAGTCAGGCCTCCACTCTGCCAATGGATCTGTGTGGGCTGGCAAGTACATTCAGTGTTCAGGTCATTTTCAAGTCTGCTCTGGTCTGTGCTTTCTGTTGGGCTTTTTTGCTTCTCCCTTGTGCATATGTGCAGGCTTTGGCAACCATGGGTATGTGGGTGGCCTGAACCAGCTTCAGTTTCCACTTTGCATGCCTGTACATCTGGAGTATATAGAGTGCTTATCAAACCCAGATGGCTGTCTTACCTCCTAGAACTTCCGGTGAAATCCCTAGCTACTCTGTTGTTTGCCCCAAACAGGACTACAACCTCACTGAGCCTTGTTTGCTTACCACTGAGCTCCCAGGTTAACTTACAATGCATCATATCAAATGAGTCCCCTCTGGCAGTGACAACAAGCCTTGTTCCCTGGGTCTGCTGTTGCCCTGGTTGAACTACTGCACCCGTAGACCTGGCCCAGGATGTGGCAGCACAGTAATCCCACAGGCTCACAGCTTCTTTCCCTAACTGGGTTTCATGAATAAGCACTTCTTAGTTTGTTGCAGATCTTCAGTTAATTTCCAGAGTGCTGAAATGGCTGTTTTATTAAACAGTTTATCCAAATTTATAGCTGCTTTTTAAAAAATGGAGAGGGAAGAGATATGGGAACATATGTATATGTATAACTGATTCACTTTGTTACAAAGCAGAAACACACCATTGTAAAGCAGTTATACCCCAATAAAGATGTTAAAAAAAAAAAAATGGAGATGATTTGTCAACCTCCTCCCCTCATCATGCCAAAAGTATATTTCCCCAGCTTATTCTGAGTCACATTTCAACCAAATCAGTTTAATAAGAATGGACTTTGAGAGGACTTGTAAACTTTTTAAAGCTGTCCATTGAAAGCTACCACAATGCCAGAGTTTTACAAGTAACCTATACCTATTAAATAGATTACTTGTGGTAATTGATAAATGTTTTATTTTTAGATATTCTTTGTTCATATTCATTTTAAAGTAAATACTGAGTTACTACAATCTGGCTAGTTATAAGCATTTTTCTTAATGTAAGTATGTAATATTTTAATAAAATATGTTGGAATGTAGACTTGATCTTTGAATTGAAAAAATAACACCTAGTCGTGGACATAAAATTTGGAGAGTTGATACATTTGAACTGAGGATTTTATTTCTATGCAGATTCTCCCCTGCCCCCATTCTGTCACATGAATCCCTATTCTTTTGGGCAAGAATGTGATTCCCCGACACACACCCCTCCCCACCTTTTAAAACAGAAACTTAATTTAGTTATGTATCAATGCTTCATATGGGAATATAATGGATAGCTAATCTGTTATGAATTTGAGAATGTATTTCATGAAAAAAGAAATTACAGAGCTGCCAAAGAGAGAGGGTGAGAGGGAGAGAGGTTGTAAAACCTAGTTTGGGGAACTTGATATGAATCTAATCTCCTGCAGTTCTGGGAGCAGGTATGTAACTCATACCCAGGGAACCTGGAATCTGAAGGAACTGGTAGGTTGCTTTGGCTCAGGACAGGAGAAGAACTGCTAATGTGTTGAGACTGTTCTGCACTCAGCATTTGCTTTGACAAAGACTGAGTGCTTATCGAGGACCAGATGTTAGTCAAGCGTGAAAGAGAGAAAGTGAGCCATGGTGGTGGATCCACGTTGGATACCGCACAAAAGGGCCACTTAGAGGCGTGAACAGGCCTCAGAACAGGATAGTCCAAAGTGGGGCTCTGGATTCCTTAAGAACGAAGAAGAAAGAATGGATTACATTCACTTAGGTCAAGGGAGTTACAGGTGAGAACAGCTGTGGGCACAGAAATGCCCCTGAGAGAAAGAGTCAGCTTTAAAACAATTGCCAGATCCAGACTGCTCAAAACCATCTCACATGAGAACTCTACCGCCCCCTGCAGTTTTGAACCTGGCAGCATGGGAAACCCTAATTAGCCAGCTGAAGGAAGGGGACCATGCCTGCTTTCCACCCCTACTGCAGGTGGTCTGCCTGTAGCATGGCCTAGCTGATTAACTCTGACTTGGCATTTTTATAGTTCCGTATAGTTATGTGGGGCTGGACATTGTTTTTCAGTGCTTTGTGAGTTAAAGCAACTCTGGACTTATTACTTGAGAGTAAGGGTTTTCAACCTGGGTTGGGAGAAGAACCTCTGAATATTTAAAAGGGTAGTGGGAGATGAAGTTGCCTTCTAATTATATCCCATGAGTCAAAAATAATGGTTACATATATTAACAGATTTTTGTTTGAAAACTTTTCTGGTTGATATAATTCTATTCATAAGATTTTTCAAAATTGAAATATTTGTGTAATTTCCATCATAATCATGTATGGGGTATGTGTGTGAGTAACTTTTAACAAAGCTTCTAATGTCTTAGTATTTTTTAAAATTTTTATTGAAGTATA